GATGCCACTTTTTTGTTCTGAGGCTATAAAGTAGATGAAACCAGTACAGTGCCTGGCAGTTAAAAAAGAATGAAAAGAGAGGCACAGAAAGAGAAAGATTGGGAGTGATGGCATCTGGATGAGATCTGGCATAGTGCATATGAAGCACATGTGGTCTGGTGTAATTTACAATGTTGTCATGGAGGTGGGGGTTATAAGAAACTGTTTTGCCTTGCAACATTCACGGAAAGGTGGAAGGGGACAATGTTGTGCTGGCAGGTAGGAAGAATATTTTAATATCGTGAGACATCAACAGTTTATGTGTTCCATCGGGAGTTCCAGCCTTTTCTGAACCCAACGGATGAATCCCAAAATAAAAACTATCCGGCTTTAGGATTATAGTTGATTTACTGTCACAGTTTCAAATCTGAGCAGAGATTAACATTTAATTGCAATTAGCTTCCAATTATGATACAAACTACAGCACACTTAGAATTATGAAATTGAAATATTGCCGCCTCTAGAGGTCACAATGTTTATTATACTCCAAAATATGATGGTGTAGGAATGAACCAACAACATCTTGACATTATTCTGCCATTATTTGCGGTCAGAGTAATGGGGAAATAATCTTGAAGATCATGATGTCATCAAGAAAATTAGGATATTCCCATCGGCCTCATCTTTTTCTCATGTCATTAAGCTTTTGCATTTCCTGAATAACGGTACGCATTCTCTAAATAGCTAGATTGTTAGCCTAAGTAGTTCATGACATCAATTTTGCCTTTGCCTAGCAACAGTATTCTTATAACTTAACCAGCTTTTTTTTAAAGATATTTCAACATGTCACTGTTATCATAAATTGATGGGTTTTGGCCGGTTGTTGTGTAAATGGATTTTGACCTAAAATGTTGTACGGACCGACTGACCTACTGGACTATATCAGCAAGCCTCCGACAAACAGGGGAAGAATGAAATGTAATAAACTTCTCTTCGAGACCTGTTCCAAGATTACTATGTGCTCTCAGAGCCCTTTTTTATGTACAGGTACGATAACATCACTTGGGCATATAGCTTTTTTTAAATCACACAGCTTTTCCAAGTGTGTAGATAGTGAAGGAATGCAATGATAACACAATAGGTCAAGTTTTGTCATCTTTCATCAGTTCGACAAAGTAAGAGTGACAGATTTAGTTTTCATATAAAGAATCCGGCCATGGCTACCTATGTATAACAGTAAGAGTTTCAGCACACGCTAGGGTAATCTTTTTAAAACTTGGCAGACACATTTAAAAGGCTGTCAGCATTAATAACTCATCTCAATCTAACAAAATGCAATGATTAATTTATTGTCTTTATCAGATAATACATTAGTCTTGGCAGACGTAAAGGCTCTTTGGACATATTTGAAAAGGATTCTTGTAAAGTTTGAAGTGTGAGAATATAAATGTATGTCTTAAACTTGTCATCATGAAATGTAAAGCACATTACACACTGGCTCTGGTATCTCTCGCACTGATGACAAAAGGTATACATTGGGTTTTGCTTCATGTTTGATTATTGGAAGGTCTTGCTTGGGGCAGTCAATTTAATGTGGTTTTGCCCTGAAATGGTGTAATTGTTAGGGTATTCTAGTGGACTTTTCTTGACAATAATAATATATTAATATGATATAATAATAGCTGTGATAACAAAGGGGTGAACGCCAAACTGATATATTTCTGACCTTAAAGGCTTTGTAAGTACAAATATTCACATAGTAGATTTGGTATGCAAGAATTCAAATACACTACACTTTTTTTGTTTGTTGGGAAAACAGGTGCAAGATGGTTAAACAAGAGCTACCAAACAATCAGTTCCTAAAGCCCCTTTACATAAGCGGTGTCAGCTACAATATAAATCAAATGACAACTGTTTATCATGGAAACCACCAAATGTGTGTTACAAAAGCTACAAGCAGCCATAACAACTTTGTTGACTTTGACTTTTTCCCCTTCTCACCACACTAAAAACAGCAGATCTTTCGCAGGGAGAAAGGTCAGGCACTCAGTTTGCAGCTCTTGGCCGTATACAGTATCAGTCAGACTAAAATAGAAATGTCACTGATTTAACGGTTTCTGAAACCTCCATTAGACTGATATCTCGATGGAAAGTATTTGAAAATACTCCTGTGTTTGCTGCTTGGCAGTTTGGCTCTTACCTCACATGACTGGATGCAATGGATGTGTTGCGGCTCGGGGTACCACTTCATCATCCCTGTGCAGACTATGCTCTGGAAAAAAAAGAACATGAGAACGATTGAGCTAGGCAGTGACAGGACAGGAACAACTAGTGTTAAGGCTATGGAAGACAATATCATAATCATTCACAAAAGCATTTTTGTAGGTGTTTTGTAAACTTAAGACTTAAAGTACATGAATTGATGGCTAAACTTATTTATTAAACTCTACTTTATGTTGTACATAATTTAAGATGGAACTTGGAAGCTGGGTTACATTACTATTTTCAATATCCACTTTGAAGATAACCAAAGGTGCAGGACTGCTACTTACAGACTTTGTGATGTCTATTGTTTACCAAATCTGGCTCCATGCCAGTTTCAAATTCAGTCAAATGTTTGATATGCTCACATTTAGGGTAGCTACTTTATTCTATGGAAGGATACATTTGTGAAACGTATTTATTGTCAATATTTCTAATAGATAATCATAATTATTATTATTATTATATATTTTGTTATAATATTATTATTATTACTTTTGCTTTTGGGCCTGACAGTTGTGTGGAAGAAAAAACAAAACATTACTTTAGAAGTAGTTCTAGAGTTAACTGTTATTGTAATTGTTTGCCAATAATCTACTTGGACCTGCCTTGCCTTTCATGAAGTATAATCCAAAATATGAAGTGTATCTTGTACTTTTGCTTCCTTTTTGCAGTGTTTGCTTTTATGAAAACCTGTTTTGAAAGAATAAAACTTAAGTGGATGACTAAACAATTGCATAGTGAGATTTGGATGAGGCTGTGGTCTTCTGTCATTTATTTGACCCCGGGAATGTACAGATAGCTGATTGACTAACAAATATGGACAGAGAAAGTGGATCCTCCCCTGTGTCCAGCCTCCCTCCCCAGCAAGGGAGACCAGATTCTGACATGATAACACAATTCCTTGAAAATGATCAGGCAGTGCCAGAGCTATGGCGTAAGTAACCAGACCTCCAGCCAACTATTTGACCTTGGCAATGGTGGATTAACTGGTTGGCTGACTGACCACCCAAAAGTTAGGCGAAACTGGAGCAGTGTTTGCGACAGCATTAACGTAGAAGCGATAACTGAGGTATGATATTGGGTAACATTACCCACCTTTAAAGCAAAAAACAACAGAGCTCTAACTCAACCTAAGAACTGACATTCCTAAAGTTTGTTCAGGGTGACCTTTATGCACTGTGTGTGCGAGGAATGTGTACTTCCTAAAAGGCTTTGACGTCAACAGGAACCTTTACTCTTGCTATCTGCCTGTGATTTCCAGTAATGCAAAAGCACTTAAATGATAACGAAGGCCAACTCGCATACACCATGATTGAACCACAGCAATATTGTTTTAGAGTTTTTATATGTTTAACTGCTATGCCTGTCATCTTTGCTCTATGTGTTTGTGTTGTCTCCTGGGTTCTGTAGTGCCCGGAGTCTGTCTTTTTATTTTTTTTCCTCCCAAACCCCATCCCCTCAGGAAGCCTTTGCCTCCTGTCAGGTCATCATTGTAAATAAGAATTTGTTCTTAATTGATTTTCCTGGATACATAAAGGTTCTACTACTACTACATACACGTGAGGCGGATTTTGTTGTGTGATTCGTTGTTATTAGCTGGCGCAGATTGGAATTAAAAATGGAATTGAAAGATACTGTCTCGCCAGAGATTCAGTCAAACATCTGATATGAAATACATTTCAAATACTTTGATGGATGGAAAAATTCCATTTGACAGTGAGATTCATTTTTAGGCATTCTTGCTGAGTTTTGAATCTGAGGTTATTGTCTTATTTTAAATAAATGATGTTCTATTTTTCCTTAACACAATTTGAAGAAAGGTTTGGTCTTCTAGAGATTTAAAAAAGTTACTTGTATTTTGTGTTGTTAAAAAATATATATATTTGAAAATGCTAATAGTGATGAGATAATTTAAATTTCTCCTGCAATTTTCTGAAGTCTGTACTGACCATGTGTCGGATGCCTTCAATAGACTAAAAGAACATTATCTGAGTCCAAACAAGGGTAATTATTGATATTTATTATGAAAAAGCCAGACAAATGATCTTAAACAAACATTTTACTTTAAATTGTGAATGTGGTAGTTATTTATTTTCAGTATAATTGGTCCGTTAAACTATATGGATGCCTGGTGTTGCAGCTAACACTTTGTAGTTTAATTTGCACTACATTCAAAGTCAAAAGTCATCATATCCCTTCCTATATCCTTTCACACAGAATAAGCTCTTAACTAACGAAGTGCAAAGCATTTGTGTAATTATTTTCATTAGTGCACTTTTTGCTTTTGTGGAACAGGGTCTTAAAGAGACAGGCACTACAACAGAGCTTTCATTTAGAGGTTGAACACAGGTTTACTCAGACAGACAGTTTAAGTAAAATCATGTGATTTAAGTATAATATCTCTGTTTGAAGAGGTTAGTGATGTAAATATTCATTTAGAATCTTACATCTTACTAAGAAAGTGATGAGATGATAATTATAATGTTGCAAAAAAAACATTGGCAGCAAATACTCCATGTTTTTTATTTTGTAGGTTGACTGAGCCGTATTTGTCTCAAACGGTAGTGAACTCTTATAGCTTTGTGCTTTATTGAGTCACTCTGGAGCTGTAGCTCAGTGCACTCCAAGCTGTTGTTCCGACCACCAGATGTTCAGATGCATTATTCATTCTGATGGGTGTTTTATGTAAAAAAAATCACAGCACGGTTTGTCATTTCAGTAAGCGAACAAAACAACAACTGTTAAAGAAACCTGCCAACAGTTCTCAAATAGTACTGAACCACAACACCTTGCTCAGTAGTGGTTATTTAACTCATCAAACAATCTTGTTGTTCACCCTGTATCATGCCTCATTATGCAACGTGAAGCAGCTTAGCAACAGGTGCAAGCTGATCTGTACAGCTCTGTGTTTTACTGAACTGGGTCAAATTGACATTGAATTAAAGCATTATACACTGTATGAAAAGCCAGTCAATAAAATAAGTTAGTGTTTTCCATAATGACTCAGTAAACCCGCATTTAATAACTGCACAATAAGCTGCCATTGGTAAATATATTAAATATAGGTTCATGCCAAACAGTTTATTTCAAAAATGACATACTTGAAAAATGTTCTGAAAAGCAATAGGAGAAGGATGGGATTGAAACATTCTTCAGGAATAGTCATCAATGCTACCATACAGTAGGTGATGCGTTGTTTGAACTTGAGCCATACTAGTAGCTTAAATTATATCGCTGCCTCTGTAGATTTGAATTTAACCATTTGTGTGTCCAAACTTTAGGATGTTAAATAGCAAATGGCTAGAGTTACCCCTTGTACTAACAGAAAACAGTGCTTGCCTTGTAGGGATGAGATTAATCCAAAAAAGGTACCTCTAACCTCTTACTAGTGTTGTTAAAGGAAAATACTTTTCTTATACATCAACAAGAGTCAGTGAAGAGACCAGAAGGTCTGTTGCTATAGTACTTGTAGCTTCTAGTGTTCCAAGTATACAGTATGTGTACGTATGTGTTTGTCATTTGTGTAACTGTACTAGAAAGACTTCCACTTGATTGGCTGCTGTTTTTACTCTCAATTTGTAGAATGAAGATGTGTTGTAATTAGTTCATATATATTTAGATTTCTTAAACTATGAATGGGTTATAGAGAAACCCACATTACTGTCTTATCATTACTATTTATTTCTTATTTAATTTGTGATGATGTTCTTACCTGGACTGTGGTTGGTAGCATCCAGTGCTTTAAAGACTCAACTGTATTGTCATTGGGTAGAATCACCGGATCACGCAGATCCATGTCCAGAGCCACAATGCATGTTGGGTAGCAAACAGCACCTGCAAGGAAAAAGAAGAAAAAAACACAAGTCAAATAACACTTACCTTTAACAGTCATTAACATCTGTTGAATGTATTCATGTTCAAACATTAAAGTGGACCTGTGGAACAGGTCTATGAAGTGTTTTCCTCAAAATACCAAGCAGATCACCCATTCTAGCCATGCCTCATATCCCTCTATTTCACTTCCTGTTTCAAAAGTGCTGATTTGGGGTATAAAGCTTTAAAAAAAGAAAAATTGATAAAAAAGAAAAAAGGAGGGGGCTGAGCTCATGCGGGACCTGGCAGAGCTGTCGAAACTAAATACTGCGGTGATGAAACGCCATATCATGGATTATCAAGGATTATTTCTGAAACAGTATGGAGCTCAAAGGCTTTCTCTCTTGGCGGTTATACCACAAGGTGAGTTCCTTTTTATATCCAGCTTCTTCACACACATGCTCCGTGCCGTACAGGTTAGCTCTGAGTGTTAGCGATGCTAATGTAAACACCAACCATATTACGTCCAAAACAGTCGGGCATTGTTTCTGATAGCAACGTTTCTGATTGGGCCATGGGTGTAAAGCCAGCCTACATTTCCGATATTACGTCATACCGGACGCAAATCTGGATCAGCTCCGTTGTAGCCCCGTTTTTAGAGATTTGGGTACGGAGGAAAAGAGAGAGGGTTTTATTTTCTGACGCTGTGTGAGTTCCCCGACACACCGGGGGGACATATTTATGTATAAAAGACATCAAAAAGTGCATTTTGCATGATAGGTCCCGTTTAAGGAAAAAACAATATTATATATTAATATAGTCCGTCCGTCCGTCTGTCTGTCCGTCCGTCTGTCTGTCTGTCTGTCTAACACAGGCTCAATCCCACCTTGACCGCCACTACAGTCAACTAAATTGCTCCTGTGGGTTTTGTCCACAGTAATCAATGTGTCTAATATATGTAATGTAAAGCGCTTTGAGCACTTGGTAAAGCGCTAAAATAAACACCATGAATTATTATTATTATTATTTTTATTTTTAAGACAGAAAGATGCACTACCGTCATAAATGTATTGTTTGCTTGGTGTGTAACCTGCCAAGCCAAAAACCATGCAGGCATAGGTATCTTTGTTGTTTGACAGAATATAATCAGGACTGTTGGTTTTTGGATGGGTTACACTCTAGTCCCAGATAGGTTACACTCACCGACATCCATCCCCTGGTCACAGCTGTACTCTACCGAGTTGAGATCGGGAGGAGGAGAGCACGATCCCTGTAGCGTGGAGCACATGGTGAACTCTGCAGTCCATTCACCATCCTTATAGCAACGGATCTCCCTCTGGAAACAAACACAAATTAAACTCATTGTGGTCATTAATGGCCTATGATTGGCCTACACTTCTGTCTTTACACAGCTCAGTATGGGTAAACAGTTATTCAGTCAGTTTAGTTTCAACCATAATTATTGTTTTATCATGCGATATAAATAATGCCTTAGTTTCAGTATTTACTTACATTCTCTGTGGTATCCGGGCACCTCAGGGTGCAGAGGGAGTCATAGTACAGGCCATTGGTGCAGCTGTACATGCCCTGGAACACATCGGGAAGGGCTGCGCAGGATATGGGCTCACAGGTACTTGTCTCCCACTGCCCCCCCTCCAGGCACTCCATCTTTAAAAACTTCCTAGAGACAGCAGTCGACAATTGGCACATCTCTGAGTGATCTCAACTCTAGGTGAACATTTTTTTTATTTACATAAAATGTGTATAAAACACCTTTTTATTGTACTGTTTGGGGGTTCACCTCTTCAGTCGCGTATTATATAGGTGTTTGTGCATGTACATGGTCTGCAAAGGCTAAAATATCAAAGTTATTGCCAGATAGAGTTTACTTCAATAACATGGTGACATCACTTTGTATCATTAGATCTTCTATTGGCTAGCGCTTCAACATATTACGTGATGGGCCAAGGGGTGGGACATGTGTAAGCAGTTCACCAATCCCAACAGAGCCAACTTGGCTCTGGTTTCAGACAGAGGGTGGAAGGAGGTGCTGCAGCACAGGCAGTATGAGAAAAATAAAGGCCTTTTAAAGTTGCAAACAAAAACTGGTGTCGTTTGGCCAGTCCTGTGAAGTAGTTTTAGTTTCATTAGAGTTTCAGAGAATTATTTATTTCTCGTTTTTTTGCTCGTTCATGTTCAGTTCTTGGTGTTGTTTTAGGTTTTCTGGTTGTCCATTTGTCACATTCTCGTTAACATAATATCTCAGGAACCCAAGGAGGGAATTTCTTCTAATTTGGCACAAACTCTCCCTAAAAATATCAAATGTCACTGAGACCTCACCCAACCCGTAACAGCCATAACTCAAGGATCGATATGCTAATATTGACAATTGCTCACAAGTTTCTGAAAGGATAAAAGATATGAGTGATGACATTTTGGACAGACTTGACCAATTGGTGGAGGCATACAAACACGAGGGAGTCATTCCAAAATCAACCTTAGCTTATTGCTGTAAATTTGGACCATGAGCCTAGGACAAAGAAAAAGTTGTGGTAGATATTAGTGTTATTAAAAAATATTTGGTTGTATTGAGGTTCCTTATAACAAACTCCTTCTCCAACTGTATGCACTCTTTACACCTCAACGCCATCTCTACTTTTTCAATTCACTTTTACTGTTTCGATAACCAAACACATACAGAGTGCAGAAGACTGCCAATTCTACAGTGCACTAATCAAATGTATGTTGCATGTTGTGTTTAAATGCAACAGTTTGTGTAACAATGAAGATTTATGTGGGAACTTGTGTCAAAGGTAAAAGTGAAAGTCCTATTTCACTGCTGCTGTTCACGTTCACATGTTGGACTAATAAAGCATCAGGTTATTAAAATGTTTACGCACACTGCATGTTTGAGAAGGCATTACTCATAAAGAAACACAGCTGCTAATGGAGATAGTTTTTTACCATATTAGGTGGAAATTACATACAACACTATAAAGTGTATATATTTGATTGGTCTTATATGATGGTAAAAGTAAGCTTGTTATATTTTTTACACATAATTCATTTTAAATACAATAAGCCAGAAAAATAGTACTGCTGTATTTTACGTTAAATAAACTCAGCAAATTGATGGTTGCTATTACATACAGAAAAGTGTGAACGAGATATCTGACTCCATTTTATGCAGGATATAAAATCACCACAGAGGTTGTGTCTCTTCCTATTTGAAACTCATTACCAACATGTGAAATGTGTTCAGTAATGAGCAGTTGCCCAATGAATACAATTGGCAAAGTTACAACAAGACCCAGCTGCGGTACTATTTTATTGGACTTAATTTGAGCTTGTTTTGAAACAGAACATAGTTTTGCAAGTGATGGACCACAGCCTCTTTAAATTGTACCCGTCTATATTTAAGACTTTACTATTGAGGTTACGGTGTTCATGTAGTCCATTGTTACGCCGTTGCAAACAAACCCTAATCAAATATCCTCATAATATTAAGCCGTGCGTAGTGGGAATCTTGAAAAGTAAAGGGAAAGAAGGTATTTCCTTAATTACCGGACAGGCATGTGTGATAAAAACATACATTTACTTCAGTCTGCTGTCTACACAGATTTTACTTAAAAGCACTGCACAACCCAGTACATTATGATCTGTTGTCCATGTGGTTCTTTAATGCCCTTGTACAGAAAAATACGACATTTTGATATCAACACGTGTTGATGAAAAGGGGAAATGTTGGTTAGCTAGCTGTTGCGAAAAACGTCAGTCTCTACCTGATGATGTCACTTGATGGTATTCAAACATAACTGGTTATTGAAATTGTGCTTTTTAAATGTTGAAACGTTTTATGTATGTGAAAGTTCGTTAAATGAATTTAACTATAAGGGGCACATTGGCAGATCACCGTATGGAGCCCCCTGGTCTCCTCTTGGTAAAATGAACTGATAAAGTTGTGATATACTATTTTAAATAAATGTAAAAACGCCCTCCAAACCCCGGCAGCTGTATCTTTGTGCACTGAGCTGCTGCAAACAGTCCCAAAACACTTACCGCGGTGTCTTCTTTTTGATGCTCCCCATTACATAGAAGCCTGTGTTGCATTTGTAACGGCACACAGAGCCAACATCGTGCCCTGAGGCCAGGCAGTCTGCAGTAAGCAGTTTGGCATCGGGTATGTCTGGAACCTCTGCACACTCGATCTTGCAGTAGGCCTCTGGGAAAGACCAGAGACTGTCCTCCAAGCACACCAACCGGTCACTGTCACCTGAGGAGAGGTGAGGCAGTAATATTCAGAGTACAGTGTGTGCCTAACACAATGGTGCAATGCAGGAAAATATACTTGGTATACAATGGGCTATTTTCTCTGTTATTCTAAACCTGCATAAACCTTTTTAACCTCTGCCAATGACGTTATGTTTTAGGTTTGATTCATTGGTTTGTTTGTCTGTTTATCTGCAGGATTACCAAAAACGAATTTTCATGAAACTTGGTGAAAGGATTAAACAAAAACCAAGGTAGATCCATAACATTTCGGAGCGGTCCGAAACACTGGACATTATGTATCACTTATGGAAATGGCCTTGGCGGAGGTCTGCACTCTCTAAGTGCCCCTTCTTGTTGATGTATTAAATGTGCTTTGGTGGTTATGGTACGTTTCTTTGGGGATTGTTTTTATTCCCCTTCGAATTGGCCTCCATAGAATCTTCCTTTGGCCTGCTTTAATGATAATGATCATAAGAAGTGAACTCAAACTCTGTTATATAGAGTGACTTTTAACTTCTGGGCAGATTCGATTTCACCTCCACAAGATTTTCCAGTGCCTGAATCAAAGTGCAGATTGTATTGGACATGAGTTTTCTTCAGACTGAATATACAGGATTCCCACACCTTTTCAAACATCAAACACAGATTTTTGAAGGACATTTTATGGCCCAATTCTCTCAAATTTAAAAATCCACCACAGCAAGGGAAAGTCAAGGTTCTTACTGTAACAACACAGATCATTTGTTTATGCACGCATTCATGCACGATTGAAGCGTCACACTCGAGGCAGGTGGCGAGTGAAAAACAGCATAACTTCAATGAAACACATGCAGATAAAAAAATAAGTAAGTGACTTATAACCTTAAGTATTGTTTGTTACATAGCAATATTGATATGGATTTAACATTTCCTTACACTAAGCAATAAGCTACTGATTGTAACAGACCAAGTTACGATTTGGCAGCAAGTGTTTATTGAATTGCTAATGTTTCAACTTTTCATTTGAAATAAGAAGATTGTTTGACTGCTTCTTCTGAAAGTATAGCCTCATAGCCTTGCTGACACATTTTTTACAAGAGTTGTATTTGCTGCACTGTATAACTGAAATGTAAAAGTACATGGGAAAAGCACAAGTAGGTCAACAGCATGGATTGATTTCTGTCCGGCTAAACATTCTGCTTTTGTTTCATGGCTCTGTCTTGTACAGTTATGAGGAAAAGGAGACCATGTCTTCAACGTAGCCCAAAGCTAATATTTGCTATGCCTGTATGGTCTCACATGAAGCATGAGCGTTGGTGTGCATGTTTGTGAAGAATCATAACACCCTAAACCTTTCACATTTTTTATTGGGTCTATAAAATGTAATGAATCTTTAACATGGCATCACATTTTTATAAGCTATTTAAACATTGCGCTGGTGTGGTGATGATGAAAATCCATTACAGCTGTGTGTGTGGAATATATTCTCCTGAACTACACAGTGTGCTTTTTTTCCCTGCTGAGTGATGCTTGAAGGCCTTCGCACATATTTCACTCAACCAAAAGCCACAAATCGAATTATTTCTACAAAATCTGAATTTAGACCATGGATACACGGGTCTAACTGCTGACTCTACTACGACATTTGAGCGCTAGCTGTGACTTTCCGACCACAAACTCAAGTGTGTGGACATCACGCTTGCTCCGTCTAATCACTTCAAGAAGCTGCATCTACTACATTGTGTAACTTTACTAAGGAGGGGAAATGTTTTTCCTTTTTGCGGCCACAGGCAATATTTGTTCTGACTCATTAGGATGTTAGTTGTATTTTTAAAAGCTTTGTAGACATTTGAGTATAAGGAAATTGTGTGTAAAGGGAAGAGGAAATATGCCATATAGCTGTCTCTATCAGTGTTCATCCTGAATTTCATTCACTCCAACCGAAACTAACACTTTAAAGGCCATAAAGTAAAGAGTCTGTGAGCAGCAAGCTTCATTGAGAGAAGACATGTTTGTGATTTTGTAAAGGGCATTTCCACTGTGATTTTATTGCAACACTGTAGATTAGTTCCCCTTCTGTTAGCTGTTTTTTTAAACTAATTTGTTTTAAACACTGTCAATTATAACAGGATGGGAAAAATAGGCCTCCAATTTAAACTGTAATTGTGTGAAATAAAGGTTTAATGTCCATTTCATTTTATGGACTGTAACTAGTGGAAGCATCTTGCTGTGTTTTGTCTGCTCACGTGACTGGGCTGTAACTGTCATTAGGTAGGTCGTAGCAGCAGAGAACATGTGTTTAATTGTAAGAAACTCAAAATGATGTTGATAAAAGGAGGTTTCTCAGATAATTATTGTATTTTGGTTTGTCTTATTGGGAAAAGCAGACAATGAGAACTAACAGTATTGTAAATGTAGGCAATATGATTTTTGAAATTACGAAAAATAAATAATTATTTGCATGGTTAGCCTGACACCGATGCTATTCTTTCACACACACATACGGTATCAACCATTTCACACGAGGTGCATACAGAATATCATAGTCGATTGCCTTAATCAATATAGTCAACTCTAAAATACCACATATATGCATTGGCATGATAATATTATTGTGACAAGTGGGGTATTCACCTGGTGTTTCCAGAAGATAGACGTAGATGCCAAAATCGACCGAAGGCCACTTTTGAGGGTCGTAATTCCATACATTGTACATCCAACAACCCACACAGCTCTAGTTTACGCTGGTAACGACCTAGAGCACACCCCTCAAGTCCAGAGATGTAATCCGAAGACATGGAGCGATTTCTTCGGTCGTTAATTCAGAAAAAAAACCTAGTGCGCTCTGCCTGGATACATAAGCTAGCTGTTTATATTAGCATTGCCAGGATTTTTGCACCTCCAGAAAAATGGCGTCTTTATAAAAAAATATATGACGCGCGTTGCATTGTGGGTAGCTGTGACGTCACTGTGTGTGAAAGAATGAAGTATGACCATGTCATTTTGTTCCTGATCTACTGGTTTTAACAAAGAAAATAGCAGTGTTTCATTTTGGATACATTCAAAAAATACACGACTAATTTGTTCTCTTAATAAACAATCACAAATCACACACTGCTCTTGTGCCTTTATCGCTGTTAGCTAGCAATGTTATCGTCAGCGCTAGCAAATCGACTTTTATTCCAAACTAGTCAATGGCACGTTTATTAAATTGTGTGAAAAGAAACACATGTTTTACTTTTATTTGTATAACTTAGAGCTACTTTCATCAGAGCACCTGCAATCATGTCTGGTGCCACATCTGTTAAGTATACAAGATGGCGATCATTGAGTGCGTGAAGTGTCCTCACTCAACTTTTTGACTATTATGAGTGCACCCTCTAGTTACTGCATTTAGCAATACTTTGCACTCAAAATAGCAAATGTAAGTACGGAAGTATGCAAATTGAGACACAGCATGTGTTTTAGATGAGACTTGACTAGAGTTAATAGAGAGAATAGAGCAGAATAGACAATGACTTACCTTGCAGTATAGCTGGTGATCCACAGGTGAAGGAGCATTGTTTGCCAAAGGTGGTTCCCCAGGGGCAGCTGAATATAGCGTGGTAGACATGAGACTGATCGGGCAGGGCGCAGTCTACAGGCTGACAGCTGACCACACGATCCCAGGAACCATGGAAACACTCCAGATGAGCATCTCTCTGAAATAAAGACAGGGGAACATCACATAATGACAAAATGAAAACATGTTTTGTTCATAATAACAATGAGTTTGTTCAAGTTAACTGTTAAAAAAAAAATATCACAAATAAAAGAACTGATAAACATGTTAAAAGTTAAATTGCATTCACAATCTAATTAGGTAGATTCCATTGCCAATATTTCAGCATTTGCCTCAACCGTTTGTATTATTCAGAAGTGATTTGGTTGATTGTAACCCTATGACATATTGGTTAGGGTATACAATGGCCTATACAATTCCTAGACTTCTCTCTGAATAATTTTGACACGTGAGCTTTTCCTTTGAAATGCGGTGTCATCTGCATACACTCTATTTGGTTTTATATAATGTATTATTCACTTAGCATTTTTTTTGGAATCAAAAGAAGATGTTACTATCTCTGGCATAATACACATGTTTTTACCTATGTATAACTTTGGATGACTTCACATAGAAACAGTTCAACAGATAATACAATATTCAGTGTACCTGGTGGGATACGGTTCCCCTGCTGTTGTGGACACTGATGCTGAAACCACGACGACACTGAACTGAGCAGTGAGAGGACTCCCCTCCTCCTGTACACCTACAGAGAAACACTGATATATAGATAGTCCTTTTGTTTGCTGTTTCAGCTCTCTCATTGTTCAGTGTTTCATTGCAAAGGGCCTACCTCACAGTGGCGTGCTCTAAATGGGGAGGCCTGCAGCTGTCCAACTGACACGGTTGCCGCAAACAGCTATATCAGGAGATGGAGGACAGGTGGAGATGGAGGGAGAAAGGAGAAGGGAGAAGGATGAGAGGCAGGGAGAGACAGAGCAACTAGGAGGCCTAAACTGATCACTAGTTTTATATAAGAAGTATTTCAAGATTTGGGGAGGCTGTCATTTTGGTAATTAACCTGTTATGTCATCATCAAATATCATACCAATGCCTTGCAGAACAATGCCAAGATCACACATTTTTCTTTTGTACGTGTTAAAACATTTTTAAAGTTGGGCTGGTTAGAACCCCAGACTAAATTACCGAATAAATGACTGAATACCTCTCTTTGTATATCATCATAGATGGTAAGATGGCCAAGGCGATTCGTACTGTTTTCGGTTTAACAGTCTGTTCTTCTACTACTCTGTTGGTGGATAACAGTCATGTGTAAAGGGTAGCCTAGTGTTTTATTTGTCAGACTTTTCTAGAGCTTGCTTCAAACTTGCTTGGCAATTGAATGAAAACACAGCTACGGACATGCTGTGTATGTGTGCGCATGTGTGTGTGATAAGTAGGTAGTTGTGGGAGAGCCCACCCTCAGATGCGCACCCGGTCAGGGCGAAGGTGCTAAAGTGGCAGGAGGTCCTCAGGGCCACGCCTCCCACTGCCACAAAGGGGGAGGAGAAGATGAGAATAACAGAGGCCGAGATGAAGAAGGGTCGAGAAAGGTCATGGGTCACATTCACCACCAACGGGTTCCGATGGCATGAGAGGTCATGCGTGCCTAGGTAGAAGAGTTCAAAGTAGTCCTTTAGCTTCTCACCATGCCAACAGTTTGTTGTGTTGTTAAGTTATTGGTTTTCAAATACAAAGGCACCTAGTGAGTGGTTTTTGCCAGTAGTATCAGACAGGAGGATGGTGGCTGTCCTCCGGCACTGCTCCCCAGACCATGACCCATCTGAAGCCAGGTACACCATCACAGAGGCTGCCACTCCAGGGTGGAGAAATCCCACCTGGATCAATGACGAAAATTACAATATTTATATAAGGAAAAAAATGTTTATTTATAGATGAATATGGGTTTACTGCAATTGAAATACTTAACATGACACATTAATAAACAGTTATACAGTAGACCATGGTAGTCAGGATCAGGAAGGGGTAGATTATTGACCCAGTGTGCTTTCCAATTGTTAGGGTTAGGGTTGGCAAACTAAGGGTTCCTTGTCACTGAACAAGAAACTCCTTGAGGATGCCCAGTGGCCTGAATAGTGTAGGGAGGAACTTGGATTATTATGTTAGGCTCTTGTAAAGCTCCATGTGGCAGATAAGACATTTGACTGGTAACGCACTCACCATGAGTCATGTTCAGTCGGCCACTTCTGGTCTGAAAAGTTGAAGCCAATGTGAAATTGCCTTGAAGTTACATTCTGGCCAGAGGGACGCTTTCAAAGTCTGTAGAACTCTATGAAAAAAATGTACCTACTTCGAACTTGATTTATTAACTTAAACATGAGTACACGCTCTTAATCGCTAGTGTCAAGTCTTCTATAAAATAGTATGGTGTTCATTTTGTAAATTATGATTTCATAAATCAGTAAATTAGACAGCAAACAAAGGCATACTTTAAGGCATGGCTACCTTGTGATTGACAGGTTGGTACCAAAATGTTGTCTGGTTTCCAACACCCTAAACACTTCCAAAGTTAGTTTTCAGTGTTTGAAAGTTAGGTTTAGACTTTTGGTGGTCTAAAATGGTTGTGTTCAGCATTTGGTCGTTTTTGCTCTGCGCTTTTCTGTCACTCCACGTTCAAAGGCACTAAGATGGCAATGGCCAAAAACCAGTGGGTGACGTAACGGTGACTATGTTCATTTCTTATAAACAGTCTATAATCATGGTAGAAACTTGTCAGTCTGCAGTCCTCCAAAAGAGATTGCAAGGACATGAACTGAGCATAGCAAGAGCTGGGCATTAAAAAGGAGGAAAACAGGGTATTGCACAAAAGCAAACAAGCCACAACGAGTACTAAGAGGTCTGTCTGGGAGACCACTAAGTCACCACAGGAAGAGCAACGGTTGGGTGCTGTTACATGTCCTAATCAATGCATGTGCATGTTGCTGCATGGCAGGAACCGTATAGTAATTGTGTTCTGACTAAAATCAATGTAACTGCTTTGATTCCAAATCTTAGCCTGTGTTCTAATGATGGATATTCAACTTTTCAGAGCCACCTGCTTAGCCTACAGACTGTGTCTCTCATACTGAAAAGATGGATTTTGGAGTATCACTTTTAGTTTAGTAAATTAGTAAGGGCTTCCTAAGTGCAACTCTTTTATAGTACGGACGCCTTAAAGAGAGTTTGCAGAGATGGATATGATAACTGACGATGGCTGAGGAACGCTTTTCAAAGAGAGCAAGACTGTAATTCAAATTAGGGTGCCTTTCAGAGACGGAAAGAAAAACTTTAAGGACAGGCGGTTATCATGAAGGCCCTTCAGACAGTGAAAGGGTCTTTAGAGAGAAAGTGGCCTTCCAGAGATGTTACAGAGGTGTGCCTGATAGGAGGTGTCCATAGAGAAAGCAAGGGATGGAAAGATGAGTCATTCAACAAAGTAGTGGAAATGGTGCTAGATAAAAATAAATGAATATGTGCAAAGGAAGGAAGAGGCAGGCTCATGACAGTAAAGGACCCTTCATCCAGAGCATGGCAGACATCATTATGAGGCTATCACTCAAATCAACAGCTATCATGTGCTTAGTCAATCAATCAATGTTTCAATCAATGTTTATTTATATAGCCAAATATCACAAATGTTACATTTGTCTCAGTGGTCTTCACAGCTTAGTCTGGACCTGAAGAGTGGATTTTGGCAACTGTGGCTGTGGAAAGTCTGACTTACAAAACATTTAAAATATAAGAACGATACACAGGTCTGGAATGGAAAGCCGGGTCCAAATACAATGCAGTACACAAACCTGCATGTCTATGTGAAGCGCTGTTGGCTAGTGAATGTTGGGGCTGCAAAGAATAGCAGGACTTTAGGCAAGCATATCAACTAAACAGCAGCCTCTGTAATCCTCTCACAATTTCATGTGTCAACAATTCATAACATTACTTTATGATGTGTCATTTTTGAAAATGTTTTAAACAATTAGGAGTATCATAGGTAATTAACTTTTTGGTTGCTTTGCATTCTCTGGGGCCAAAATAAACGACAATATAAATGATGTTTTCATAATGATCTTGTAGTGATTACAAAATTGTTATTGTTCATTGTGATGCCAGTGCTATAATAACTTTTAGAACTTTATGGGAATTTAATTATGAATGATGAGTTAATTATATAACACTTAATCTTTTATTGTTAGTTAACTGGTAATGGTAATTTTTGAGGGATTTGAGTGATTAGTATCCAATGGGTAAAAATAGCACAAAATGCATGCTACAAGAATAAGTAGAGGGTAAGTCATGATTCAGTATCATCTACAGATCATTAGTACCCGTAATTTACAGTTGTCTTGGGAAATGAGGAATTAAAGTAAAAAAAAAAATCCATTGTATGAATCATGCAATTGTGAGAAAGTTAGGAATGTGTGCAGGTTAAAGTCAGCAGACTGTGTGGGGCCCTTCAACCCAATTTTAAAAATACTGGAAAGTGCTGGAAGCTTAAAGAGTAGCCACCCACAGTCACTTAGCGGGGGGGGGGGGGGGGGGAATATACAGTATGCATATAGTGCACACACACACACATGTACCTTTAGCCAAAATGGATGTTCCAGGTCATTGTTTGTGTCGGACTGAGCTACACAGGGGAACCAGGCGTCCGTGGGCATTCTCTCACTCACCTCCAGGTGTTGGTACCTGCAGAGCTATATTCAGAACAAAGAAAATATTATTAACATTAATTTAACTGATCTTGTTTTACTTTTCAAAGTTATCCTGACCTTACCTTTTAATGTGTACATTTAAAATCCTTGTTTAACCCATTTGTTGAATTGGCACATGGTTTAATTTGTGTCTGTGCCACATATTCCACATTATGGAGGAACACAAATGTAACTTTGATATTATCTGACTGACTGATTCAATACATTTGATTTGATTATTTTGTGTGTTGAGAAAAGCCCACATTCTGTGTGGCATTTGACATCCAGGCAAGGCACGTTTATTTATAGCACCTTTCCACAAAGGGCAATTCAAAGTGCTTTACAAAAATGAAAAACATTAAGACCATTAAGAAATAGTGCAGCGGAAACACATTATAAAATTGCATTTAAAAACAGTCATTAAAAAGCAAAGATAATAAAATAAACATCAGACATGAGTAACACAGGTATTAAATACATGAATAAAAGTTACAGTGCAGTGTGAGATATGAAAAGCTCAAATAAAATCAGCAACAAAAAGAAAAGTCTTCAGCCTGGATTTAAAAATAGTACGATTTGCAGCGGACCTGCAGGTTTCTGGTAGTTTGTTCCAGATATTTGGAGCATAATAACTGAACGCTGCTTTTCAATGTTTAGTTCTGACTGTGGACAGAAAGCAGACCCATCCCAGGAGACCTGAGAGTTCTGGGTGGTTCATAATTTAGCAGGATATCAGAAATGTAAGACAGAGTCCATGACTACACCTAGATTTCTGGCTTTTTCTGTTGTTTTGAACATTGCCGACTTTTAGTCATTCCTCCTTGGATCCAAAAACAATTACCTCAGTTTTATCTTTGTTTAATTAAAAACAATTCTGACACTTCCAGTCATTGATTTGTTCAATGCACTTACTCAGTGTTTGAACTGGAGAATAGTCTCCTGGTGTAATGGTTATGTAAATGTGTGTGTCATCCGCATAGCTATGGTAACTTATTTTGTTGTTTTTCATTATCTGAGCCAGTGGTAGCATGCAGATGTTAAAGAGAAGAGGCCCCAAGATAGAGCCTTGAGGAACCCCACATGTCATATTTGTAAACTCAGATGTGTAGTTACAAAGTTGTTCCTGTCATTTAAGTAGGATTCAAACCAATATAGAACTGTTGCCGCGATTCCCACCCAGTTTTCCAGTCGGTCTAGTAATATGTTGTAATATATCATGCTGATTCATGCTGAAAGATCCCAGGAGATGCCAGTTCTGAGATGCTTGGACCAGCGTGTCTTACACCAACAATCCTCCCATGATAAAAGAGGCTTGCATCATGTTATTTGCCCAAAGGAGCTGACTAACAGTTACTCTGAAGTTTCCATGCATATGCTTAATTTGTTTGTTTGTAAATCTTTCCTTTTCAGGCTTTTTTCCCTTACCAATTGCTGCTCAGATTCCATCTCTTAAATAGAAATAGTTAAATATTAACCAATGCATTGACTCATTACTGGCTTGCATTTAAAATACGTCATGTAAGTCAGTGTGACCTGAAGAGTTGTGTTACTTTGTGTTCTCTTGAGTGTTAAAACGTGATTCTTATTGATTGATCAGGCCAGATCAAGAATCTTGCCAAACAAGGCAAAGTACAGTTTATTGAGGTCTCATGTAAAATGGCTGTTTGTATAACAACTAGCTAGAAGAAATACTGATATTAAAGCATAGTCTTGTTAAGTAGAAACAATGAAATTAAGGCTTCTGAGCAAAACTGCAATGAGCAAGAAGAAATGATACTCCATCTTGAATTTTCATAGAATGTATTAATTGTATTACGTTTACTGTGCATTGCTTTAGACATTCTGTTTTTTTACTTTAACACACCTGTAATTAATCTTTATTCTGCACAACTAAAAACTTGTTGAAAATGTGTTCTGGTCTGATAAGCAGTTTTCTTAGCACGTAATAAACTTGAGGAATTGTTTAATTGTCTTGTAAGAAACTGGCTGTGTGAATAGAAAATAAGTGAAATATAGGGGAGGGAACCGATAATCTGTCTTCTATGATGATTTAGCTGGGGCTGAACTAAGGCCAAAATGTCCATGGCCAAAATGTCAAGCCGACAGTACTACCCAGACTAAAATAGGAAAGAGACGTCTTTAATTGTTCAGGAATGCAGCCAGCTGCTAATAATGTTGCCGATTTCCAAATCCGTCATCTGGTAGTCTTATATGTGCCCTGTGGTTGATACGTCATACCTTGGTAAGTGATGGCTCTCCGGTGGCAGCATTGGCTGAACAGTGGTCGGGGTTCTGGTGAGAAGCAGTGGCGGTGGATGCCCATTGGTCGGTGTAGCCCAAAGGTGTGAAGTAACCACAGTCCTGAACGCTGGAGCCCCTCTCAAACTCCTCGCACACACCGTCACCGTCAAAAACATAACACTGACTTGGCTCACCTTGGGAGAGGGATAGGAGAATGAGCCAGGAGGATTTATGAAAGGATATAAACCCTGTTTTTTTATCTGGCAGGGTATACAATCATCCCCCCCCCTGTGAAAATCCGATCCAAGTCTATTTGTCAGTGAACCAAATCTGAGCAAATCTTTTTTGTATTTTCATTGGCCACTTACAATGTTAACCACGTCAACTCAACCACATCTGACTCCTCGTGCTGTCAACAGACTGTAAATTATGGGAAGAAATGAACTTTGACTTCAATTATTTTTTTTAAATCATAATAATTCTGTAATGTTAATAGGCAGCAAGAGAACGTATTATGTGACTTGGCCAGTGAGTTTAATCCCAACAGCCCAACAATGGGCCCATTGGTATCTATAAGTCACCAAGTATCAACAGTGGCGTTAATGTATGTGTTACAAAAAACTGTCAAAGCGTTGATCAAAAGTTGTTCCAGGTCTAAAAATACAGACAGGAAGGTATTTCTATTGCTTTTATTTTATCTGCTTATAAATGTATCAACTTATCAGAGCTCAAAAATGTTATAGCATACAGCAAGGGGAAAATAAAATGTCAATAAATACCTGTCCACAGGGGTGGAAAGTAGCAGTGGAGTAATAACACTTAATCTAATGCAACATGATACACTCGCTTTTTAATGCAGGAAAGAAGTTGACAGAAAACTAGGGCTGCCTCTTCTAAGTCGATTTGTCAGCCGGATGATTGTTAGGGTGTTGATGGATAAATAAGCTCTTTCTGAGATGTTTTTGTATGGCTCAATTCATCTACAGAGAGGATATTAGGATACCAAGTTTATGAGGGTTCCACTGTAATACATGATTGTTAAAAGGCTATAGCAACAAAGATTATACATTTTAAGGCTGTTCATGGTATTCGTAGATCTGCCAGGTCAGCAAGATGCAGGGGTGCGTTTGTCAATTTGAAAGTCAAAGTTTCAATTCAAATTGTGCCCTTTGACAATCTCCTTACGCTGTGACATACTGGACTTTTGTTAGTTCACAACAACAGTTTGTTTGCCCTTTTAGGGCTATATACTTTTTTAAATAATCTTTAATAAAGAAAATTATGCATGCTTCTTAGTTAACATTAAGCTGTTTTTGGCTCTTTTCTGCTGTAACATTTCCCCTCTGATTCTGATACCCCATTACTTTTTCTAACCATGGTTTTGTGTCATGACAATTGTGGAATTTAAGCTTAATAAAGTGTAATCCTGGAAGTATTTTAAATCCTTAGAGATAACACATGCTCTGATATTATACTGTAAATATGCTTTGTACGAGAAGAACATTTGGTCTTTGTTCACGGAAGTAAGATAAAGGGTTTTATGACTACAGGAAAGAGAGGGAGGAATAAACAAGTTGTATGGGGGCTTTTACAACATCCTGTATTGGGGGGCATCTGATCAGTGATTGGATCTATTTTGATCAAATGGCCCAAATGGTGTTGTGTGACATGTAAAGGAGCTTTGATGTTTTCCGAAGAGAGTCTCCACAGACAGCAGGATGCACTTTTGGCATACTTTCTTTGGCCTGAAATAGTTATCTTGCAGCAATGATCTCATTCTGACTCTTAAAAAACACAATAACTAAAGAGTAAAAAACACATGACAATAAAGTCTGATAAAGGTTAATAAAATGTGCTGAGGATGTAATTGATGATTTTTGAATTAAATAAGGCAGTATGAAATGGCTTTTATACTTCCTGTAAAAAAGTTGCACCTGAGCTATTAGCAATGAATATTCAATATACTGGACTGACATAATGCGCTACAGGCATTCATCACGAGAAGAGTGGGAAGCATTAGCTGAACGACAGCTTGTAATGCAGCAGTTATTCATAAAAAGGGCGGAAAACATCAATACACTTCAGAAGTTTGGCCTCATTAACATCTGGACAGCTGCAGGAGTTCGACAGACTGAGCTGTGTCGGAGGGTCAATGCCGCACAATTGGCTTCAATTAGTCGACGAAAACATGTTTCTGCTAAAAGGCAAATGAGGCAGCCGACACAATTTAATGCTGTATTGTCATCCCGAGTTCTTTTGGAAATGCTGCAGTTAGTGAACTCACCAAACACCCCGCCCCTGCTTTGAAAAACACCTGTGAAAATGATGAAGTCTAACTTATTCCAAGTTTGTGTATTTATCAAGCCTCGCAACAGAGAATGACTTGACCATCTCTGACTTAACTATTAACACCATCTGCTTTTCATTTCAGATCTGCATTCTTTGATGATGATGTGCAATGTAACCCTTATTTAATCCAGCAGTTGAAAAAATGAATTGCATAAAACAACTTCCTTACCAATTACAGCCCATGACTTTTCTGTGACATGATGACTATAAAAGAATATGTTGTGGTTACTGCCGAACTACAGTCAGTTCAATAAACACAACAGAGAAAGACGAGGTAGATCAGGAGTTAAATGGGCCTAGCAAATGTGCCAAGGGAACCCAAACTAATATTTTGTCTATGACTAAGAAGTACAACTGATTAATTGGTTTTAAGTGTAACAATTTGTGAAAAGCTGTTTTTGCCAAAACATTTTCTCTCTAGTAATGATGTATTTTATTGTTATACAAGTAATCTAATAGCTTCACTCACGGCTAGTCGTGGTAAGTGGAGGTCGGTTTACCATGACAAATAAATTGACTGGATGATCGAAATGTGAGCTCTCCTAACACCTAACATTACACCTCATATATACAATACATGGCCTACAAAGGAAGCAAATCTGACCTGTAACATCTTCTTAGCAATATTATGGAACTTTCCTGAAATTGCCAAAAAGTTAGTTATTGTAAAAGTCATACTTATTCGATTTAGCGTCTAAAGACTGAGGCGCGTTTGTGGCGAGCATTCCGTTAGACTGAGGATGAGTTTTGGCTGTGGAGGAACACCACAAACCACAACAGTGGAGAAGATTTCTCGAGTCAGTAGTCTTTCAATAACAAACAGAGAGACTTGGAAACACATGGACGTAGACGTGACAATCCTTCGATTTGTATGAGGATACTAGGAAAACTCTGTGCGTGTCAGTGAATGTATAAAAGTGTGTGTAAGCAAGTATACACGGGTAAACAGCTGACTTTGAGGCGAAATGGAATCATCAATGAAGTTTTGTTCTGAGCGCTTCATGTCTGGCTTTACCACATTGAACTTTGTATTGAATGTCAAGGTCAAGCAACACGTGTTAAAGGAGGAAGTCTTTAACCTTCTGCTTACAATGGACTGCACTCCATATCGTATATTGAGGTGTCTGTTGTGGCCTGTCTGCATTCTTCAGACTAGGCCGTGGCGCAGAAACAAAGTTTTGTTGTTCTATGTTGGAAATCTGAGGCCATGGTTCTCAGCAGGAAACCGATGGACTGTCCACTTCAAGTAGGGAATGAGTCCTTACCCCAAGTGAAGGAGTTCAAGTATCTCGGGGTCTTGTTCTCGAGTGAGGGAACAATGGAGCGTGAGATGGGCCGGAGAATCGGAGCAGCGGGAGCGGTACTGCAGTCGCTTTACCGCACCGTTGTGACGAAAAGGGAGCTGAGCCAGAAGGCAAAGCTCTCTGTCTACCGGGCCATTTTCGTTCCTACCCTCACCTATGGTCATGAAGGATGGGTCATGACCGAAAGAACGAGATCGCGGATACAAGCGGCCGAGATGGGTTTTCTCCGCAGGGTGGCTGGTGTCTCCCTTAGGGATAAGGTGAGAAGTTCGGTCATCAGGGAGGGACTCGGAGTTGAGCCGCTCCTCCTTCGCGTCGAAAGGAGCCAGTTGAGGTGGTTCGGGCACCTAGTTAGGATGCCACCTGGGCGCCTCCCTAGGGAGGTGTTCCAGGCACGTCCAGCTGGGAAGAGACCAAGGGGTAGACCTAGGACCAGGTGGAGGGATTATATCTCTTCGCTGGCCTGGGAGCGCCTTGGGATCCCCCAGTCAGAGCTGGTTGATGTCGCCAGGGAAAAGAAAGTTTGGGGCTCTCTGCTGGAACTGCTACCCCCGCGACCCGACCACGGATAAGCGGAAGAAGATGGATGGATGGATGGATGGATGTTGGAATTACAAACGGTCGGGGCGCTCTCTGTGGCTTCTTTGATTGTCTTTTGCGAAGTTTTGTTGCATGTTTTTGGTACTTTTTACTGCTTTTTTAACCACCTGGCCATGGGTTGAGCGAAGAACATTTGGTTGTGGTCTTCTATTGTATGAATCCAGTCAAGGTTTATTCCCAGGGTGACATTTAATGCTTTGTCACAGCCATCCATTCCTGATATGGCCCAAAAAGCTTAATGACTGGACTTGCAAGTAACTACAATGCAAACCAATACCAGGAAATATTAGACACTCGAGCCTAGAGACTTTAAAGAGCCAAATGTAGGTGTAGAATGGAGAATTGATGTATGAGTCACATAGAGGGCTGCTGTTTTTGTTCTGTAAAAGTTATGTCACATAACAAACATATTTGTTTGTTACCAAAACCCAACCAGTTAACCACAAGTTTTCTGTGACTGTAGTATACCACCATAGCTTTAAGTCTACGGCCTAGCCAGTGATGCAAGGGTTCCTGACCCGGCCATCCATATATCACTGGTTGGGAACTCATAAACATTATATATATATATATAATGTTTTATGTTTTTTCCATTGCAGTTACTTTTCAACCCATTGCAAATGTATACCTTTCCCTATCTGTATGTGGCAGCAATAATTTGGCATTTCTACTACTGTAGATTAGGCAGGTTATAACCATTTGGTTACAGATTCGATTGAAAAGTATGAACTACAACAAAAGCCTAGATTGAAATAGTTAGTTTAAACAGGTGAATCTGTTTAACTTAATCCCAAACACACATCAAGTTCTCTTGTGTCAGCCAGAGTACTCACAGGGCCACAGATCACCTGTTACTTAAGCTTTCTTATCTTAACCGTAAATCTTTGGTCTAAGAACAAATCATGCATTCTTGCCTAAACCTTACCAAGTGGACCTGGTTTAAAAAGTAGTACAGTAGCTGTGTCCTAGTTCTAAGCTTTGTTGTTGGGTTTATAGAAAACAACTTTTTTTTTAAAGATGAGAAAAAATGAACCCTGCACTATTTGATTCAAGCGATCAGAACTACAAGGTGGCCCCCATTTTCAAAACCTGGTATAACCAATTACACGCCGTTAATACATATCAAATAAAATGAAAACAATGGCAATGTCTGAAATAAATGGTCTAATTCAAAATCAATACATCATTTGTGACACAATCACATCAATACACTTTATTCATTAGTGTTCCTAAGCCCGTATTGATTGCTTGAAATCTGATTAAGGCCAGAACTTATTTTATAAAAGGAAACATGCCTGACATGTGTTTTGAAACTGAACGGTTATAGCTGAAAAAAAATTTTCTGGTGTTTCTCTGCCAGCCTAATGTCAAAATGTTTCAGATTTCTAAACAAGACTTAGCAAAGCAAAATCTTGTTATCCCTCCACTCATCTGTTTCCTCTTATGCTGCGGTGATGTTACATTAATGGTTTGTGAAATCAATTCAAGCCAGGAGCTTTTATGTCTGGTAAATAACATTTGATTGGCTTGAATATTTTTGTTATTACTGCTGCATGCACAAATGAAAGATTTCTCACACTAAAAGTTGATATGGTGTTCATGTTCCACATTGAAGTCGGTGTGTTTGATGAAAGACGGATAAAAGTGTTGCTCTTTTGGTTTAAAACGATATGTGTGTTTGAAAACCCACTCACTCACCATGACAGTTGAAGCCAATCTCCTTGTGGCATTTCTTAGAGCAACCGTCCCCATCCAGAAGATTAGTGTCGTCACAATCTTCTGTCCTACAATGAGAAAATGATCATTAACATCACTATCATTATCAATACCTTAATTTCCCATGCAGTGTACATTTACAATGTGTAATTGGTCATGTTAACATTAAGTGCACAAACCCCTGGATGAGGCCGTCTCCACAGTAGGATTGCCCGTGGGTGTAGAGGAGAGATGGGGACGGGTCGCTGAGGAGACCTTCTGCTTCCACTTGGATTGTGTAGTGGTACCTGACTCCCTGCCTTACAGAGCTAGAGAGAAGAGGAGAGGAGGAAGACAGAAGAATATTAGAGAGGAGAAGAGATGGGAGAGGAGAAAAGAGGATGAATTGATGAGAAGATCAGACAGGAAATAAGAGGAAGGGAGGAAAAAAAGGGAGTGGATAGATATAAAGAAATAAAGAAGAAAAGTGGGTAGGGGAGGAAGAGGAGAAGATAAATCAAAGCAAGAGAAGAGAGGAAAGAAAATGGTTTTGTGATTCCTTGAAATTGTACACAAATATTGGCACTCTAAAATTATAAAACAGAATTTCAGAGTTTGTTATGTTCTTTCGAGGAGTATTAGGCAAGGTTTGTATTGGTCCTCGAAAGAACATAATCTTCACAGCTTGATCGATACAATGACTTATTCACAAACAATGTAAGTAAGAACTAATTGGTGCCAATGTAGTGCATCAGGATCTAATTCTGTTGTGTTCTCTTACTTTGTGCTATGTAGAGAGAACATTGTGTTTGCTGTATGTCCCAGTCCCCTCTAAAAAAATAGATTCTGCATTAATCTGATAGATTCTGCAAGTTTTCAGTGTGTAACCTTGTATCCCATGACCTTAAAGCCCCGGGCAGGAAGTGTGTTTTACGATACTTTGGCTGCAGTGTATTGATCTGTTTGTTGGCTGTGTCTATAAAAAGAGAATCCTCCCTATTTATTGCAGCATAGATCTCCTACGTCGTCTAGTGTGAAAATGTAAACAGGAGAATAAGAAATTATTCAGTACCTAGCTGAGGTCTGGTCTATTTCCAAAGAAATGTCCTTTATTAATTATGGATCAGAGAAGGAAGCTTGAAAAACACCTTCCACCCCTATCCATCCATAATGGGCTATATCCTGCAACCTTATTCCTCCTCGCTGCTCTCAGGGACCTCTTTAGGATAATTATGGTGAGGTTTAGGTCATCTTTTCCCCTTTCCCTTGTTACACTCTGCACTTCCTACCTACATGCCTAATTCCCTATTGAACTAGTAAACTTAATTAACAAAAATCATTGGGCCATTTTTTTTTTTTTTTTAATGACGTCATAGGAAATGTCCAGTAAAATCTAGATGTTAAAAAATGTGTTTAAACTGCACAGCGACATATGATCATTAGATTAAACACTCGATAGCCATTGTTTAAAGTATAACAACAAATATGTAATTGTCTGAAAGGGTTTTTTATTTTATACGGTCTCTATAAACGACCACTTTTGCTGGCAGGCTTGTTGTAAGACAGAAGGGCGAGAATTTATTTGCAAGTGTTAATAATGGCACACACTTTGGTAATGACTATCCTGTAAAGGCAATCATATCACTGTTGTTACAATGAGTCAGAATAATAATGAAAAGACAGAGCTATAGAGAGTTGCGATATTAGCGTTGCATTCGAGTGTTCACCCGACATTCATGCAACACTCTAGCAGATAAATAGTGTTTGTATGAGTCTGTATCTTTATTTAGACTTTCTGGTATAAACTACAATATTATATGTCTCGTCCAACTTTCTTTTTTTATCATCCCACCCTCCCTTATTCACGCTACCTTATTTTCTAAACTCGTTGCTCCCAGACTCTCTCTTCTCCTAACATCAACCCCTCTCTGCCCTCCTCAGTCCCACATAACTCAAATCCCACAGGTTCTTACATCTTTTTGCACTTAGACACAGCTTGTGTAACACAGGAGATGTGTTCCCTGAAAAATAAACTGTTGTTGAGGCTGCATCCACCTCCAACATCTGCCTTGCTCTGCAGAATAGCAACAGCTTCTTAGAAAAAATCAGTGCCATTTGAAACTTTTGAAATCAGCCCCAGATGATCTGCAATCAAGTGACACAACTGTCATAAACTTGAAAGTCTTTGGTTAGAATTTGAAAGAAAATCCTGGCTTGGGGCTTTACATTTGGATTCTGGTTGCATTTGGACAACCCACAGGACACTGTACAAACGTTTTCAACTTGTTCCTGAGACCTCAGCATGCTTTTGATTGAGTATATGCTTGTTGAAACAGATTTGGATCAGTAGCCACAGCTCGACATCCACACGTAGGAAACATTTGTGTTCTGAGCTTTTCAAACAGAAACAGACCCAAACACTTTTGAAAGACAGATAACTGTGGATTAGCAGATCGGAGGACCCAGTCGAAGAGGTATGCTGCTGAAACTTAAACTCCAAGTTGCCCCTAAAAAAACATTATTTTCCTCAGAGGCTGCTGATGTCTGACAAGGCAGCGTGTGTTTATTTGTGTAGGTGTATCTATGTGTGTTAGTGTACGCAGCAATGGTGGTTGGCAAAAACATTATGTTATAAATATTAGTTTACACGTTAAAAAAAAAAAACGATTTGGGAACTTGCCTCAGAGGCAGTCCTCGGTATTCAAGGGTATTTTAAACCCAACTGTCAATTCCCATGACATATTGCGATCACTCCCACCCGTTTAGATAATTCTCCAGCTGGTATTACAATGTGAGTGACCTTAGGTAGACTTAACTGCAGTAAGAGCAAATCAATTAATGATTTTTCCTCGAAGTACACCTGTCAACGTTGGAACCTACCTGTCGGTGAACATCTGCTGTGTCTGAGGCGGGGGGGATTTGCTGGCGAAGGGCGGCTGCCGCTGAATCCTGTAAACCAGGGGTTGGCAGCCGGTGCACAGAGGGCTGCCGGGGCCTGAAGACAACATGGCGGCGTCAATCTCCATCTTCTCGTCGAAGGTGCAGATTTTTATGGTGGCAACGGCAGCATTGTTGGTGTTGAGGCGCAACGTGAGGGGCATGTCGCAAAAGACGTGCTGCGGTCCGAGATTGATGCTTTTCCCCGTGTCTGTTATCAGCTCTATGTTGGCTATAGCTGGGTTATCTGTGACAAGGAAATACAGATATATGAGCTACAGACGTATGTCAGCTTTTATTTCTGGCATTTTAAACTTCATTGTCAATCTCGGATTGGGTTTTAACTAGAGGCCAGAATATCTGGGTTTTACTTATGTATTCACAGACAATGGAAAATGTATTTCTCACATGGTTGAATATCTATGCACAATGAACAACTTTCTTAGATCATTCTGACTGGCCAAAAACAAATGTCCGGCATGGCCTCAGGTACCATGCTGTAGATATAAAATCTGAATCAAATTTAGTTTCGATTGCCAATATCACAAGTTCACATTTATTTCAAGGGGATTTACAGTCTGTTCAGATGAAAAACATATGCATTACATTACAAGAAAGACAATCCAAATAGCTAAAATAATAATGTGAACGTATAAATAAATGAATGATCCAGGAGGTTGCCAAAAGCTTCCCAGTGCTGCCCAAAATAAATGACATGGATATCAGTAAGGACCACGGCAACAGGTCCAGATGTAACATTTAATACTGACGAAGAAAACTACTGAGAAAGTACAACTAAAGGCTAGTTCTAGGCAAGCCTGAGCCAGCCCTAACTATAAGCTATATCACTTAGGAAAGTCTTAATCCTTAGGAGTTACAGAGCGACACTTACTTGATGAAATGTAGGTGACCCAAAGGGTGAGTGCGTGTGGGATGATTGGGTGGAGGAACCGTAGTGTGAGGGTGCAGCCCTCAGTGTCGGGACACGGCGAGGTCACATTTGTGTCATAAAGGCTGAGCTCAGGACTCCAGGCCTGTAGGCTGGGGTCACAGGGCTGCTCCACATCGGGCGGGCCTGGGGTTTAATGACATTGCACAGACGTACGTATTGGTAATCATGTACAGCAAAAAACTGTCAATTATTTGGTCCACGCAATAACCTTGCCTTGTAGGGTCTGATTTAACAAATACCAGAGCAATGCTTTTACCAGCACACATATTCTCATTAGTAACAAGGGAGAGAGAGTTTTCCAGTTAAGAAAGAAAGAGTCATTCTTCCTTATTTCAAACATGAAAAAAACCTAGTACTAACACCATGACGCAAGGCAAAATGACGTGTTAATGGTTACAGTGTTAGTGATTAGCACAATGGCATCAAATTACGTTAATTTACTTTATTTTCAGCTCTGCCCCAAAGAGCCTAATCAAATCAGGATGTTACTGAGGTGTTAGACATTTGCACCCACTGTGATTAGCCATCTGTAGAAATAACACTAGATCGCTAAACTGACAGAAAGACAAAGACAGCCAGGTAAAAACAGCCTTAAAAATGCAACAGTACTGGCCCAAAAATACTGTCCCATAGACTTACATTGGGAAAACGATGTCTTGCCCTATAGCCCTTCTTAAATAGATCCTTACGTCCTACATTTTTTAACTTGCACTAATAGCCAAATCCAGACTTGTTTTCCCACCTCTGTTCATGTGAATAAATGGAGTCTGAGCGGCTGGGAGGCGCAGTAAAAGGAAACGCAAGTGATTTGTCTCTGGGCCACATTGACCGCCAAGGTTTTCATTTAATGTTATACTTAGCGGGAGTTTTCGTTTAATTTTATATTCGGTAGTCAAACGTTGGGGCTTGATGTGCCACGGAGCAACTTTTTAAAGCAATTAACAAGCTCGCTGCACCCTCACTGCGAGGGGGACCCAAGTTCCCATCAGCAAAAACACGTGGGTTTGCTATCCTGGCTCCAAAATGGTGGAATGAGCTCCCCATTGACATCAGGACAGCAGAAAGCCTACACACCTTCCGGCGCAGACTGAAAACTCATCTCTTTCGACTCCACTTCGAGCGATAGAACTATTAACAAAGCACTTATATACTAATAAAGGACTGGCTTATCTAAAGCCAGTTGAGTAGCACTTGAAATATTTTTGCTCTATGAAACCTGATGTACTTATATGATTCTGTTTTCTTCAAGTTTGTATTTTGTTGGTCGAACGCTTTGGATAAAAGCGTCAGCTAAATGCAATGTAATGTAATGTAACAAGTTGCCACCTCATGCACTATATCCAGTTCTCTTTGTATGTCCATGACTTCCATCGTCTTCTAACAGTAGGCTTAGAATTGTGATATTAGATTTTCATTACCCCTATACAGACGTTGAAAACCTACCTTTCATCCCTGTCTTTACCCCCAGCAAATTGAAATTCACTGAACATTATGCTGCACCTCGCGTTTTGAGTAATAAGCTACTAGATTCAGCATATAAACTAATGTAATCCTTCTCAACGGGCTGAAAACGCGAACAAGTCTAGATTGTGGTAAAGGCAACATTTTCAGGAAATGTAAAAAGACAATGTCAACAATTCTAGCCAACAGTTTGTTGCCATTATACTTGTGTCTTTGTGTTGCCAGCCATGATATCCGCTTTGAATTTGTCCAATTTCCCCCCTCACTTTGTCTACCCATCTCCGTTGGCTGACAAAGTGACCCCCGCGCATCATGTGGGAAAAAGTGAAAAGGAAGCCAGCAGACTGGCTGTCTCCTCAGCTGTGTGCATACCACTGTTTAGAGTAAGACTGTAATTGACTCTTTATCATCATTATGATCCCGCAGCGAAAGAGAGGGAGCCGTAATCCCCCCCCCGTTTCTCCTCGCCGCTTGTTTTCAAAGCATACATTCCTGCAGAGGATTTCCACATATTTGGGTAGAGTTTCCACGGAAGAGAAAGGGAGTGTTATTGTGTTAGCGAGGTATTTCTTTCTCTCTTACTGTATATCTCTTTCTTTCTCTTTTTTTTATTGTTTGCTTCCTTTTGGTCCTTTTTTCTTTCTTGTCTCTTTTCCCCTGACCCTACACGCCAAAGCAAACCGGGCTTCTGCAGAGATTATGATTGGAATAACAAGGACCATGTGCTTACACGAAGCGTAATGTTTCAAAGTGCAGCGCTGCGAGATACAACTTTTTTGGCTTTTTTGTTTATGACGGAGGCTTAATGTCTGAACAGCACCCAAACATTACCCAGAGTAGACGTTGGTTAATAATCCTTGTTCTCGCTTTGGCTAAAATAAGACAGAGACAGAGAGAGGTCTGTAGCAGAGAGCAATTATCATTTAATGATTTTCTGCTTTTTCCTCTTCCAGGAGCCATTAGCCTTGCACGCACCTGAAATTTACAGGGCAGAGATGTGTGTATGTGTGTGTGGAGGGGGGGGTTGGATGGGGGGGTTGATTTGCTTTGTGGAAACAAGAGACCGAAGCGGAACTCAACGACACAGACTTAAACATGAAACCGCCACTACAAAAAAAGTATTGATCGGGAAGAGTTTATCAGGCGAAAGCGCATACAAATAATCTATGATCGAGTAAATGATTACTAAAGAAACACCCTCCACTCTCAGTGTTGATATTTAGTTGTGGGTTCACATGCAGCCTGTATGGATGTTGCAATAAGAACAAAAAATCACTATTCTGAACTGTATTTTTTTTTTTTTGTTGGTTAAAGATATAAATATTCACCCTATTTTTTTGGGCCAGATTTGCTTTTATTGGAGATGACAGTGTTGATATGTGCATATGGTTGCAGGCCAGATTCAAACCTGGCTCCTCCACACAGGAACTGAGTCCTGATACTTTCACCATTTTTTTTAACAAACACACAGTTTTTGTTTTTTTTACTGACCGACTGCTTCCTCGGGGGTCCAGTAGCCTGAGGTGTCACAGATGCGAGGTGATGTAGCCTCTGAGGCATATTGGTGCAAAGCGCCGTCTTTCTCACAGTCTCCGCAGTTGATTCCAGACACATGGAATGAGGAGCTGGGTCAAAAGAAAAAAGAGTTGCGTGCGATATTATATCATGTTTTTTTTAAGAACAGACCTATAATAATGTTGGACCAACTTGCCTCTTTTTTTGTTTTACTCCAGATGGATATAAATATACAAAATTGTGTATTTTTACACTTTGTGCTTAACCCTTGTGTGGTGTTTGGGTCAAATTGACCCGATTTCCATTTTCAATGAATAAAAAAAAATATAAGGATATTTTCGTTCAAACTGAAACTCAATGGCCGGGGCTTATTTATTGTGAAGGACATGTGGAATTGTTTTTATTTTTTTCCACTTGTGAAAAAATGCCCACCCGCATTTATGTCCTTCATAAGAGGTTCGGGTCAATCTGACCCGAATACAATACCAGGACAGACAGACAGAGAAAAACACACAGAAACACACGAACTAAAGACACACACACACACACACACACACACACACACACACACACACACACACACACACACACACACACACACACACACACACACACACACACACACACACACACACACACACACACACACACACACACACACACACACACACACACACACAATTGTATGCATAGAGAAGCTGTTTGATCCTGTTTTCCCTTGATCTTTACCCTTTGTAGTGTGTACACAAAACTATCCTAGAACATTATAAACATTTTAGATCTTCCAGAAATGTATAAACATTTTACATTTTCTCGCACTGTCCCCCTCGCACCTGCACGCCGGAGGAGGGACTAAACAGAGACATAACCTCAGTGTAGTAACAGTGTAATGTAGAACTACAATTATCTACCAACAAAATGGCCAAAAGATATTCTGCTCAGAGAGCCTTGGAGCTAATAATGGATGAGAGTGAGTGGAATGCATTAGAAGAACACGGTGAAGTGGGACAGGAAGACATTTCTGAAGATGAGGATAATGTGGAGGTAAACTCAGAATTTGACAGCAAATTGGAAGATGAACTTGACTCAGAGCCAGCTGCTGGATGACCCCCACAGCCAGCCGCAAGAAGACCCCCACAGTCAGCTTCTGGAAGACCCCCACAGCCAGCTGTGAGGTCTGTGGACCCTCAAAGGACTCCAAGACACAGACTACATGCAGCAACTGCAACAAGTACATCTGTGCTATACACACGAAGAAGTTCTGTACATCATGTGTTTCCTAAACGGACTTGCCCATTGACTCACATAATGTTCTGCAGCGTCACTTCATCAATATATTTTTCGGATATACTGTATTTTATGAATAGTGACTGTTAATTGTTTTTATTTGCCTTGCGTTTATATCTGTTTTATGTCATTTATATGGATGTTTCATTCTCTCTATATTTCACAGCCAAATACTTTTGGATGTGGTTCTTGTGTTCCAATAGCTGCTAAATTGCTTTATTTCCTTCAGGGCTTTGATTATTATATGACAGATTAAAAATAATAAACATTAATGAAAAAATGTTTCATTTACATTTGTCCTAGAAAAGCATGAGCAAAATGTAAACCTAGTTTTTATTACAGTGTATTTTTTTTTAACATAAATTACATTTTTATCACAAAAAACGATGGACACTTCCATTGTTAAATTTTATCTAGCAAAGAGTATTTTCAAAAACTAATCATATATTTCATTTATATTGTTGGGGAATGAGTTAAAGACAATATATATAAGGAATTGTGTATGTTGAATTTAGTTCTGTATTTTTTTTAAACCCTGAAATATGTCCCGGGTCAATTTGACCCGAACATTACCAAAGGGTGCGAAATGTGAACATAACACAAGGGCCCATGTCATGGCCATTTCTCATAATCATAATTCCATTGTTGAGGTCTACTAGAATAGATTTATGTTGTGCAATTTTCCAAACTCACATTGGTTTCTCATACAGGATCTCTATATAGTAGGGATGCACGATAATTATCGGCCCGATAATAATCGGTCCGATATTAGGAATTATGACGTCATCCCGATAAACCCGATACCAGTATTAATAGCCCCGATAATATACAATATATTTTTTGGGTAAAAAAAAAGAAAAAAATACTGTGGTGTGGGTGGATTGGGATGAGGGGCGCTTGTTTTTTACTCGGCTCCTCCCGTTTTGCCAGTACTGTGGTATTAGTGGTTTAGGAAGAGGGGAGTTCTTCACAAATCCAGCGCTCCCTAACTCATGCCTGGCTGTGACGTAAATGGTGTGCGGCCGTGAAGCCAGGACAGTAAACAAACATGTCGTCGGTGGTATGGGCGTTGGAGCTATGTGCAACTCAAGGCATATGCTCGAACCGGAGCTGCCTGGACGCTGCAATCATGTTGCGCACTATCCGTGCTGAGTGTGCTGACTTTTCGTACAATGTCCCACTGTCTGGCTTCCTGCATAAAGTCAAGTGCTCGGCGCAGTTGTGGCGAAATGTCGCTCCTCTGTTTTCATTTAAACAGCTCCTTATATCCATTAGCGCAGCTAGCTAGCACCAGATGCTAACAACAACAATGCACGTAAGGTCTCTCGCTCGCTCGGGCCACACATACACACACCCTCCCGGTCCTCCAGATGGCCAGTCGGTGCCTTTATATATACAGTCTATGGTCGGTGCCTGCCGGTGAGCGTGGAAGTGTCAGCATCAGGGCTGTCAGCATCAGCTTGTAGATGGTATTTTAAACTCGATGCGCTCTGAAACTACGGGGCGGCCGAGGAAAAAAAATACACATGCGTTAATCGCGTTAAAATAATCAGTGGCTTAAAAACATTTTTATTATCGGTTATCGGTATCGGTATCGGTCTTGAGAAGCAGGAAGTTATCGGTATCGGTATCGGTTTCAAAAAAACAATATCCTGCATCCCTACTATATAGTATGTGTAAACGGCTTGTTGGAGCTCCTGCCCCCCCCCCCCCACCTCCCTATGAGGCCACTGTGCTCTGATTGGTCAGCTCGCCCACTATGTTCTGATGAGTCCACCACCGTTACAGCTGAACATCAGTGATTATGTGTTACAATGGCGTTAGCAACCAGAAAATGACACCAGTAATGACAAACAGATGAGAATGCTGTGTGGGGTCCGGGTGCCGTGTTGGCAGGACGTTGCGCGTCTCGCTGCTGCGAGGAGCGGACAGTGTGAGCTGGGTTCATTCCCTGCTTGCTGCATGGGATCTGCGAGACAGCGAGACATCGCGAATGGACGCGGGAAGGTGGGGGTGCTGAGGGGGCTGCAGCAACCCCATCTGCGAGGCTCCACTAGCACCCCCCGCGCGCGCGCCACAGTTTTGCCGCTGAGAGAGTGTGTGTGTCTGTGTGTGTGTGTGTGTGTGTGTGTGTGTGTGTGTGTGTGTGTGTGTGTGTGTGTGTGTGTGTGTGTGTGTGTGTGTGTGTGTGTGTGTGTGTGTGTGTGTGTGTGTGTGTGTGTGTGTGTGTGTGTGTGTGTGTGTGTGTGTGTGTGTGTGTGTGTGTGTGTGAGGAGCTCCACGGATTGGTCCAATGGTTCCATTTGGGTATGGTCACGTCACTGTACCCAGGAAGAAAAAGAGAAATCTCCAACGAGGCGTTCTGGGGCAGCATAGACAGGTATTTTCTGTGTTAGAGTTTTACTCGCTACAGGATGTACTTTGAGGGTTTGTGACTCTGCAGACCGTTTACATGCAGAAAAACCTTCATAACACACAAGGGGACGGGTAATAACCGGAAAAGCATGACATGGGACCTTTAAGAACCCATGCAGTCATACTCGTACAGTACCTCTGGTAAAGCATTCCCCTCAAAGGTGGCAGCCAATAGATGGAGACAGAATCTGGACTCTGGTCTGTCACTATGGGGGCCAGAGGGGTGGGAGACGGCTGCTGGTCCATTAGCCACTTCTGGTAGACCAAATCCAGATAACAGTGCATTCGGGCCACTTGGTTGGGGGTGAAATGGTTGGTGCAGTTGTCATCTGATGTGATGAAATAAAAAAAATCAGTGTTTATAATTTTAAACACTAACCTCCATTTAACCTCATTTATAATCACTCAAATATTTAGCTTACTGGCAGATATTGAAGAAAATAGGTTCTCAGTGAAATCACAAGCAAAACAATGACTGTAAATATCAATGTTGCTCGTATAAAGCAAGCACAATTAGCCAACTTAGTCCTTGCAAAACCCATTTAAAAACGAAATGCAGTGTACACAGTAGTTGTACTTCCTGCTTGTGTGGCTGTGTCATTCAAATGTCAAGAGGTACATAACTTTCCATTAGAAGACTTATGGCAGACTGTAGTAACCAAGAACCATGTGTTTGTTCTCCTTTTGTCTTGAATAGAAAAAGCCCTGGTTCTAATTATGCATGGATGTTATACAGGATGTCTATACCATGTCCTCTATCATCACTACAGTGTACATTCTTCATGTAATGTAAATAACTTGTTCTCTGGGTCATTGGTTATTTCAACATGTCTAAAAGCATATCTACAAGTAAGGAGAGATGTTTTCATCACTGTACCTGTGTAACTCATGTAGTTGCTATAAGGTGTGTTGTGGTACATGGTGACTCCGCAGGAATCATTGACGGTTCCGGGATCATGGCAGGCTTTTGATTTGGGTGTTGGTGCAGTGTCAGCACACAGATCTCCTGTCTCCATGGATGGGGTGATCTCCTGCAAGGGCATAAGACAGAAATACAAGCAAATGATCACAGGAGAGTGAAAAGCCCTATCCAAGGAGGCATGTCTAAGCCTAAAAGAGAATGGCAAACCTATAATCTAGTTTGCTTAATTTAACCCTGGAGACACCTGCTGTAGCTGGAACTAGCACAGACACTGCTGGCTCTGCATCAGCCTAACATTATCAGAGGCTGTTGTGAGCAGTTTGCCAGGAGTCTGTTTGTCTATCTGGGGACACATTTGTAATAGTGTCGCAACCTACAGTAGCAAGATGCAGTCACAAAACTTTGCCAATGTGTAGTTGAAACCCAAATGACCAGTATTGCAAAATGGCTGGTTCCGAAAAGGGGGATTGGATTGGTGGGCGGAGTAGTAAATTGTTAAAACGTGGCGTTAATTTGGCAATTCGTCATGGTTTTTAGTTGTTTTTTATTATTATCACTGTGTTTTCAGATAATTATCCTTATAAATATTATATATTTTACTACACTACTTGTTTTATTTTGCATTCATTGTTTTAACATTTATTTATTGTTTTTCTGAGAATAAATATTACAACGACTGCAGAAGGACACATTCCCAGAAAATAATTTATATATAAACTGTATGATACAGAATTATGAACAAGAGGAGAACATTTATCAGTCCTACCTGACATGGGTCATCACAAGAGTCCCGCTCGCTCACCCCCTTGAAAACATGGTAAAGTCCAAGTATGTGGCCCATCTCATGAATCATGGTGTTCTGGTGGCCCATGGTACCAAAGTAGGACGGGCTCAGAACCATCCCACCTGAGGACAGAAGATAATATTTAAAGTGTGTGTCATGATACAATTATATCTTGAACTGTTTGTCTTACAAGCTGATTTTGATCTCCGACTCATAATAAGAGTCATGGTCTGGTGACATGTTAGTTAAGTTTTGCAAGCAAGTTGCAAATCTAAAACTGCCATTCAAGACTGTAACCCCTTATTCCTCCATGTTGATGGGATGTAATGATTTGGAAAATTGTCCTTCAGCAGGTGAACAAAGCCATGTTGGATAAACTACCATCTTATATCTGCTCCCTGATCTCTCTGCGAATTGAAAGTAGTTATTGCCTGAGATCGCATGCTGTGGTTCTATTAAATGTGCCAAGTGCTAGGACTGTCTTAGGCAGTGGTCCCCAAACTAAAGCCCGCGGGCCGGGTACGGCCCGCCTCCACATTTGGCCCGGCCCCCTGAACAGTACCAGAGACGCATTATGATCTTTTTTTTTTTAAATGTAAAAAAAAAAATGTTTCAGTCTGGCCACGCGAATCCTAGACTAGCCCCTGTCCAAATGTTGTGACCTGCTCTATCGAAATCAGTCGCATTGAACTGAAGACACCTTTTGAGTTGTATACACTGATGGAAAGAGGATATTCCTAGCTTTCTAATGATATCAGGATTGTTTTTGTACTTCAAATATTAAGCGAAATATGTCACATTATATAATGACTGTCACCGAGTCATCATTTTGAGAAAAAGGCCTTCAAAGTTGTCTCTTCTCTGGAATCCATCGATCTGATTGATTATTAGCGGAGCAAATGATCAAAAATACTACCGAGGGAAGATATTTTCGTTTGGAGGGGAAGCTCGCGAGTGTGTGTGTATACGTGTGTGTGTGTGTGTGTGTGTGTGTGTGTGTGTGTGTGTGTGTGTGTGTGTGTGTGTGTGTGTGTGTGTGTGTGTGTGTTGTGTGTGTGTGTGTGAGTGTGTGTGCTTGTGTAATTTTGCATTTGTGTGTATTGTGTTTGTTTCGCGGGGAAAACACTCACGAGAAACACCGGCTGTTGTTATGCCTGCAGTGACGTTAAGTTACTCCGTTCTCCGCTTGTAATTATGCCGAAGCTTCAAAGTTGTATTTATCATCTGAATTTGCCGAAACAAGTTTAATATTCTGAAAGCCAAGACTTTGTTTAATTGAAATCAGATGAAAAAAAACTGTAACGGACCCTGCCGTGTTATCTATGATTACTATACTCTTACATTCATAATTTCAGCGGAGGGGGGGGGGGGGGGGCGGCGCTGCGGAAGAGCAGATTGCGAGTGAGAAATAAATAGGAAATAAAAGTTTCATATTCTGAAAGCCAAGACTTTGTTTGTTTAAAATCAAACAAAACACCCGAACCCCGAAAAAATAGTTTTTTTTACGTAAATCCACGTTTATTTTGAGAGATTCTGCTCTGACAACTAAGCTAAACTTTTACCTGTTAAGATTGTGCACGGCACAACAGAAAGTTACAGTAATTTTCAATGGACTTTTTTTCTGTGAAGAACCCAGAGAGGGTTATTTGGTTATTATTTATTTCATAAATAGTGTTATTTATTTCATTAATAGTGTTATTATTTATTTCCTGACTTTTTTCTGTGAAGATCCCAGAAAGGGTTATTAATATTTGGTTATGTGTGGCTTTCTAGAAAACAATAAATGTTTACGTTTAGACACCCATGCGATTGTCACACTTTTTCTGTTACAAACTGACCCGGCCCCCATCAGAGAAGGGAAAAGTTATGTGGCCCTCACAGGAAAAGTTTGAGGACCCCTGGTCTTAGGGAAGAAAGCTTTTAGATGTGCAGCTCCACTAACTTGGAGCAGTCTGCAAAAAGAATGGAAAATTATCAATCTGGTACCACTACATGTTTTTAAAGCTCGGTTGGATGCTACACAATCAGATGCTGTTGGTACCTGTACATTCAATTCAAATTCAAAACCTTTATTTATCCAGGTAAAATCCCATTGAGATCAATTATCTCTTTTTCAAGGGAGACCTGCAGCAGTAGGTTCCACAAGAAGACATAAACAACAGAACAACAAAAGGACATCATACAGCAAAATGTACAGGGATTACAATTTACATATTTAACCACAAGTACAGGTACCAACAGCATCTGATTTTGTAGCATCCAACCGAGCTTTAAAAACATGTAGTGGTACTAGCTTGGTAATTTTCCATTCTTTTTGCAGACTGTTCCATGTTAGTGGAGCTGCACATCTAAAAGCTTTCTTCCCTAAGACAGTCCTAGCACTTGGCACATTTAATAAAACCACAGCATGCGATCTCAGGCAATAAGTACTTTCAATTCGCAGAGATCAGGGAGCAGATATAAGATGGTAGTTTATCCAACATGGCTTTGTAAATGAAAAAGTACCAGTGACTGAGCCTCCGTACATAAGTACGTAAGTGATGGCATAACCGCCTTGGTATACAGGGTACAGTGATGCGTAAGTGCTTTACAATTTGTCAAAAATCTCAGTGCACTGTGATACGCAGCATCTAACTTGCTCAGGTAATTGGCAGGTGCATTCATATATAACAAATCACCATAATCCAGCACAGGTAAAAAGGTCACAGTGACTAGCCTTTGCCTGGCCTCAAGCGAGAAACAGGACTTATTTCTGTAAAAGAAACCTAGCCTAACCCTCAGCTTTTTAAGCAGGTTATTGACATGAAGTTTAAAAGTGAGACAGTCATCAAGCCAGATACCCAAGTATTTGTAACAGGTAACCACTTGAAGTTGTATTTTTTGCGTAGTTACAATATCCAAAGCAGTGTCTGGTGTATTTTTAGCTTTAGCTTTAGAAAAGAGCATTACCTTGGTTTTATCCACATTTAAAAGAAGCTTAAGCTCAGAGAGCTGAGCCTGAATAATGTTTAAAAAAAAACATGTGGATAGATATGTAAATTATAATCCCTGTACATTTTACTGTATGATGTCCTTTTGTTGTTCTGTTGTTTATGTTTTTATGTCTTCATGTGGAACCTACTGCTGCAGGTCTCCCTTGAAAAAGAGATCATTGATCTCAATGGGATTTCACCTGGATAAATAAAGGTTTTGAATTGAATTGAACCGTTTCAGTGCCCTTTGGCACGACAATCAATAGGAGGAAATCCCCTGGTATAGTTACTGTTGTATGTCTAAAAACACTAAACCATGTTCAGATCCACTAACCGTTTACGATTGTTTTTTTAATGAGATTTCAGAAGCACCCAACAAAACAACTGATCGCAAACAAATGTGTTATTGCTGTGAAAATCTAGAGCTGTGAAGCTATTTAACTCGTGTGTTACGCTCTGCTACGGAATTTCTAAAAGAGAAACAGACCTCCATAGTAAAACGACTAAGCACTGTGATATTTAAAACCAATTAGGAATAAAGTAAAACTTTACTACTCTAAGCCAAAAACAGGAAACAGGATACGGTAAGGTGGCTACAGCTGGATGCGGGCCAGTTTTGCCAGCTTTGAATATAGAGGAATACCCTGCAGTGCAGAAACCTTGTATTCACCATTTTTCCTCGTTTCGCTAATAACTGACACCTCACTACGCTGTCTTTAGAATACAGACATAGTTTCATGGCCTTGGAGCTAACCCAATGCAACAGAAAAACATGCCAAAATATACAACGAAATTCCACAGCCACCAAAGATGTGATTGGGGGAAAAATCATAAAAACGAAATCACTGTAAAACAATCGAGAAAGGTGCATACAATTATAAACATTGAATATACAAACATTGTTACCAATGTTACCAACTACTTGAATGCATGAGTTGGTTTGAGATACATTTATATGTATATGCTTTATAAGTTCATTAGCATTTAAGGAGTTCTGTTAAGAGGTAATGAATGACTCACAGCTAAAGCAGTGTAAATGGTAGGTGGGAAGGCTGGATAGTATACAGATCAAAATGACTTGGATTCTGCTCAAATTCTGTTAACCAATTTCAATAAAGTGTGGTACTAAGTAGTCCATGCAACATGGACAAAAAATGTTTTGGTGTTGATGTGGTAACAGGATTTGTAAACTTTGTTGCTTTATGGCAGGGGTGTCAAACTCAATTTCATCACGGGCCACATTAGCATTATGGTTGCACTCAAAGGGCCGGTTGTAACTTTAAGACTATATAAAAAGATATATATAAATATTTGATATATATAAAATAATGTATTATATATTACATTATTGCCTCTGCATTGGATTATTATCGGATAGGGTAATAACTTCATAATTAGCTACGTCTGAAAGCAGAAGTCTAGGGCAAATAATTGCAAGTCTCTCTATTGCATGTCAAAATGATTTAAAAAGAAAAGCCAAATTCTGGAGAAAAAAAAAGTCAAAATTTAAAAAAATAATAATAGGGAAAAAATGTCAAATTCTGAGAAAAAAGCTAATTCTAAAAAAGGCATATTTTGAAGAAAAAGTCAAATTCTTAGAAAAAAGTAACATTTTGGAAAAAAAGTCAAATGAGAGATGCATTGTGGGACATGTAGTTTATGGGCAAGTGCTTCTGTCAAGCGGCCTGTAACCGTATAATAAACATATTATATTCTTTGCAAGTTCTTGTGGGGCCGCATGAAATGAAGTCACGGGCCGGATTTGGCCCCCGGGCCTTGAGTTTGACACCCCTGCTTTATGGAGTCCACAAGGTAGGCTTCATTCTAAATTACAAATATTGTGTACCATACACCGTACCATTATACAGTCATTTATGTATCTAATGTTATAATGTTATTCCATTGTGCAATGAGTTTGAGATCAGAGCAGCCATGCAGCCTCTAATTGGTCAACAGACACTAGAGGCTGAATTGGAAGTGGACAGCTCAAAACAACAAACTTGTTTTTTGCTAATTTGCATTGTTAAATGAAAGAATAACTCCATTCTGTAGGCAAAAACAAGTTTCCTAAGAATGATGATAATCGAAGAATCAAGAGCAGACATGACAGTTATTGGGATTGTGATTAGGAACAGAGTGTTCAGTGAAGACGTTGAACAATGAAGACATTAAATACGAAGACACTAAACAACAGGGTCTCCGGAGATGACTTGTCATCCATCTTGGTTTTAAACAGAGACAGATGCTGTGCAACTGCCAAATGTCTTGTGGGACACATTCAGTATCAGGACTCAAACTGTATAGTCCATTTTATATATATAGGCCACTATCACAAATGTGCCTCAGGGGCATTACATTATGTACAGCATAGGACACCCTCTATCCTTTTTGACAGGCTTTGGATATGGAAAAACACTCCCAAAAGAAAACTTAACTAGCCCACACTGATGTTTGTTTGTTTGGTTGTTGTTTGGATTGATTAGCCTTTTCCAGTGGAAAGGACCTAATAATTGGAGGAGGAAAAAGGCAATGTGCCGGGAAAATCTATGCCAGCCCCAATTGCTCTCCCCATTTCGTTTTTGAAATTGCTAAAGCAGGCAACAAAGAATGGAGGGCATGGGAAAAGATCAAGGGATGGATATGAAGAGTAATAGGCAGAGAAAGAGAAACTGAATAAAAGCAAGAGGGAAACTGTGTCAAATCCAGTAGAGGAGAAAAGGGCAAAACAAGTTGTAAACATAATACAACAGGACAATTTGAATGTTAATAAAGACAAAAGCAAGGAATTTGAAGATATGACAAATATTGAACAGTATTTTGATATATTACTCACCTTGGTGGGTTAGAGACTCTTTTGCCCATGGCCAGGTTGCAGCTCCTGCCAGCTCTTCACGCACTGAGTTGCTGGCAAAGAATACATTGAGGTTGTCAGTGCCGCTCAGGTGTAGGGCCTCCTTTAGCTCTTTTACACTCATATAGGCCCTGCAGAAGCAAAAAAGAGAGAAAACATGAAAATATTAGATATATTCAATAAGCATTCATCAAAGCACTTTAAATTAGGCTGTAAATCCTTGTAAAGTGTGGTGTTATATCTACAGGATTAAACTATAAACAGTCATTAATCTCAAACTAACATTATGCTACCATGTTCTGTGTTATTATTACTAAACAGACTAAAACGTCAAAATGGGTTTCTGCTACTTTAACCTAACCACAAAGGAGGCGCTTTCATTTGAACACAAGGGAAACAGTATTCGACAGTGCGACAGACTTCGACATTCCACCGGAAGTCGAAAAAGTTTGAATTTAAGCATTTAACCTAGCTTAGTACTGGCAGCCAAAAAAGCTGCTAGCTTATTTTCTCAAGGGTGAAAAAGAAAGTGCTTTCAACAGCTCCATAACTGAATTATTTTGTACTTATAAATATCAAACAATACATCAACAAATCACACACTGAACAAAAATATAAATGCAACACTTTTGTTTTTGCTCCCATTTTTCAGGAGATGAACTCAAAGATCTAAAACATTTTCTATATACACAAAATAACCATTTCTCTCAAATATTGTTCACAAATCAGAAAAAATCTGTGATAGTGAGCACTTCTCCTTTGCCGAGATAATCCATCCCACCTCACAGGTGTGGCATATCAAGATGCTGATTAGACAGCATGATTATTGCACAGGTGTGCCTTAGGCTGGCCACAATAAAAGGCCACTCTAAAATGTTCAGTTTTATCACACAGCACAATGCCACAGATGTCGCAAGTTTTGAGGGAATGTGCAATTGACATGCTGACAGCAGGAATGTCCACCAGAGCTGTTGCCCGTGAATTGAATGTTCATTTCTCTACCATAAGCCGTCTCCAAAGGCGTTTCAGAGAATTTGGCAGTACATCCAACCGGCCTCACAACCGCAGACCACGTGTAACCACACCAGCCCAGGACCTCCACATCCAGTATGTTCACCTCCAAGATCGTCTGAGACCAGCCACTCGGACAGCTGCTGCAACAATCGGTTTGCATAACCAAAGAATTTCTGCACAAACTGTCAGAAACCGTCTCAGGGAAGCTCATCTGCATGCTCGTCGTCCTCATTGTGGTCTCGACCTGACTCCAGTTCGTCGTCGTAACCGACTTGAGTGGGCAAATTCGATGGTGTCTGGCACGTTGGAGAGGTGTTCTCTTCACGGATGAATCCCGGTTTTCACTATTCAGGGCAGATGGCAGACAGCGTGTGTGGCGTTGTGTGGGTGAGCGGTTTTCTGATGTCAATGTTGTGAATCGAGTGGCCCATGGTGGTGGTGGGGTTATGGTATGGTCAGGCGTATGTTATGGACGACGAACACAGGTGCATTTTATTGATGGCATTGTGAATGCACAGAGATACCGTGACGAGATCCTGAGGCCATTGTTGTGCCATTCATCCACGACCATCACCTCATGTTGCAGCATGATAATTAGGGATGGGTATCGTTTGAAATTTATCGATTCCGATTTCGATTCCGGTTCTGCTTATCGATTCCCCGTTTCGATTCCAAAATTGTAAAATAAAGAGGTCAAACGTTTAGATAACAAAATATATTTATTCTTAAAAGCTTTAACTGAAATTGTTACTAAAAAATATACATGCAATACAAATGTATTGCACAATAGCTGTGCTTTATTTTAACTGAGCTATGCCTGTGGCAAGCTATTAACAGGCATTACACTTTGCCTTTTCTTTTTCTTTTTTAGTGTAGTGGAGCCTCACTTCAGAGTGTTTACCGCGACCTATCTTTGGTGTTATGAAGTGACTGAGCTCGTGAAATGTCTACGGGAGGGCGGGGGGGCATCGCTGCGGGGCAACTGTGGACCTCTGTCGCCTGTCAGCGCAATTTATATGATGCCGTTTTAAAAAATGAAGGGCGGTGCCGGCCGTCAGCGTACCGAGCCGGCCGTCAACGGCCGTCAGCGTACCGAGCCGGCCGTCAACGGCCCGCTGACGACCGGCCGTTCTGTGATTCTCCAGGTCCGCCCTGTATTCCACCGGGTCACCGCAGCACCGCGGTGCAGACGGACCCGCTGGAATACAGGGTCTACCGCGTTTAGGAACCGTTAAGCAGAACCGAAATTGTGTATTTTGTATGGGTACCCGGTACCCGGCATTTTCTTATCGGTTCTCATCTGGAACCGAGTTTCGGTTCCCAACCCTAATGATAATGCACGGCCCCATGTTGCAAGGATCTGTACACAATTCCTGGAGGCTGAAAACATCCCAGTTCTTGCATGGCCAGCATACTCACCGGACATGTCACCCATTGAGCAGGTGTGGGATGCTCTGGATCGGCGTATACGACAGCGTGTTCCAGTTCCTGCCAATATCCAGCAACTTCGCACAGCCATTGAAGAGGAGTGGACCAACATTCCACAGGCCACAATCAACAACCTGATCAACTCTATGCGAAGGAGATGTGTTGCACTGCGTGAGACAAATGGTGGTCACACCAGATACTGACTGGTTTTCGGACCCCCCCAGACCCCTCCAATAAAGCAAAACTATAGGTTACTTACGTAACCCCAGTTCTCAGAGTAACATGAAGTGAGATGTCTCACTATGGGATGCGCCTCATCGCGGAGCAAACAGAAGCATCAATCTCATTACGCCAATCCTGATTGGCTGGTGATCTTGACGTCAGGGAATTCACCCCCTATAAGTAGCTTGCGCCACGACGCATGTGTCATTAAAAATAAGCACCTCTTCTCGCTTCACCATAGCAAGGAGGGCCGTCTGGTGAGACATCTCACTTCATGTTACTCTGAGAACTGGGGTTACGTAAGTAACCTATAGTTCTCATTCATATCACTACGTTCGATGTCTCACTATGGGAAATTGTAGCTCCCGTATTGTCAGACGAGCTTATCTCGAAAATCACCAAACCAACCAGAACTTAACAGGTAGAGCTCTGACTCAACCAGGTGCCCAGCACTGCTTGAGTCACACTGGGAGCAGAACGTCCAGCCTGTTAAGAGGCGGACAAAAGTGAGCGGCGAGGACCAGCTCGCCGCTGCACCAATGTCTTGGATGGGCGACATCCTGGACAGAGCCCAGGATACAGCCAGACCCTGAGTCGAAAGAGCTCGCGGACCCGAGGGTGACCCGAACTCTGACTTGTATGGGCCCCAAAGCAATTGCTTCCACAAACCAGTGGGAGAGCCGTTGCTTAGTAACAGGCTTGCCCTTATAAGGGTTAGCCCAGGACACAAGGGGTTGGTCATTATGACGAAGCACCCTTGATCTGTCCCTGTACGTGCGTAAAGCACGGGCTGGACACGGCAAATCCGGCCGCTGTTCCCCGGAGGAATACAGTGGTGGGGAGGATGCCTCAATGTCAAATGTGGTACCTGAACCAACCGCCTTAAGATAAAGGCAGGGTTGGGCTTCAACCACACTCTGTTTGCCCTGGGGCGAACTGAGTGCATGAAGACTGTACAGATAGCGCATGAGTGCCACTGGCTCGCTTGGCAGCTGCCAGGGTCAGCTTCATGTCACACTGTATTCAGATTGTACCACTCACGGGCCAGGCCCATAGAGCTAAGCGCTCTGGGTGTGGGTGAAAGATCGCCCCCCCCCCGCTTGGGACAGTATGTCCCTGCGTAGTGGGAGCTGCCATGGCTGCCTGCACAGCAGCCATGGCATAGCTGGCCAGTGCGGAGATATCAGGATAAGTGTGTGGCGTTGCTCTCTCACTCTGGCCAGAGTTGGGGGTATCAGAGCCAGGGGTGGGAACGCGTACAGAGGGCCCGGGGGCCAATCGTGCGCGAGTGCATCCACGCCTAACGGTGCATTTAGATCGTGCATCGAAAAGAACAGCTAACACTGAGCGTTGTCTTTCGATGCGAACAGATCCACCGCGGCTCTGCCGTAACACACCCACAGCTGGTTCACAATCATTGGATGTAGAGTCCAGTCTGCATAAAGTGGTATACCTCTGGACAGTAGATCTTTCCCCCGAGGTTCATCACTCCCGGTACGTGCGTCGCTCTCAGAGAGAGGAGACGTCTACCGCTCCATAGGATCAGTTTGCGCGCCAGTGTGTGTAACTGGAGAGAACGCAAACCCCCTTGGCGGTTAATATACGATATTGTGGTCGTATTGTCTGTCCTCACGAGGACGTGATGTCCCCTGAGGAAAGGCAGAAAGCGTTTTAGGGTGAGAAACACCGCTAAAAGCTCCAGGTAATGTGCGCCCGCTGGAGGTCTCTGCTCCAGAGACCCCTCACCGGGCGACCTTCATAAATACCTCCCCAACCTGTCAGACATGCGTCCGTGGTGACCACTTTCCGTGAAAGGACAGCACCCATAGGCACACCTCGTACTAGAAAAGTCGGGTGCAGCCAGTGGCGCAGTGTCATTACGCATTTCACAGTAACCATCACTCTCCGCGCGCCATGGCGCTTTTTTTTAGGGCGGCCACCCAGCGCTGAAACTCCCTCATGTGTAAGCGTCCCAGTCGTACGACCAGGATGGCTGACGCCATGAGCCCCAGCAATCGCAGGCATGATCTGAAGAGAACATGTTTGCGCAGCTGGAAAAGAGCGAGATAAGCTCTGAAAGCTTTCACTCTTTCCGCTAACAAGCGAGCTGAAAAGGGCACTGAGTTCAGGCGTAAACCCAGGAAGAGTATAGTCTGCGCGGGGCACAACATGCTCTTCTCTGTGTTTATTATGAAACCCAGGTTGAGCAGGTGCTTTACGAGGACATTTGTCTGCGTAACAGCCTTCTGCTCCGACTGTGCGAGAAGCAGCCAGTCGTCCAGGTAGGTCGCCAGGCGAATACCCTGTTGTCTTAACGGGGCTATCGCGGCTTCCGTACATCGTACAAACACCCTTGGACTGAGAGACAGACCGAAGGGGAGTACTCTGTATTCATAACAGATCCCCTGAAATGCGAATCTCAGATATTTCCTGTGTGGGTAATATACTGGGATGTGAAAATACGCAT